CAGGAGATGATCCTTTCCTGCTTTGCGTACGTCTTCTACTGTTTGTTTTGCAGCGAAAAGTTGTTTTTGACAGCAATAAGTTATTCACATCTAGTGCTCAGAAGTGTGAGATCTCCTTGGAAATGTTGGTAAATTGAAAAAAGAGTTGTAAGAAGTTTTGAAACAGTTATTATGTAAACTTTTTTTTTCTTTGGCTTTGGGAGGTGGTGTGGGGGGGAAGGGGGAAGGAGAGGGGTCTGAGGTGGGTATATCCTAAAAGTCATTGAGTTCATGAATTTCACAATTTCTGGTAATCTGGATTGCCTTTTTGTTTTTTTTATCATTTTTTCTTTTTCTAATACAATCAAAATAAGAGGTACAACGATGCTAACACAACCTAAGCTGTATATATGAAGCTTGCACCATAATTCTTTTAATGCTTTACATTTTCTGCTGGGGCTAGGTTGGATGTTCATGAGAGCGGCATAGCGGCACTTGTACGGCTTAGCAATGGTGACATGAGAAAGGCTTTGAACATCTTGCAGGTTATAAAATCACTTCCTTGGGTGTTTCTTTCTGCATGTTTATTGTCCTTGCATACATTAAACAATAGTTCTTTAAATCCCTTATAACTCCTCTAAATTCTGAATTGATTCCCCAAACTGAGGGATTGGAAAAGTGGATTTTTTCTGGCACTACATGTTCATTGACTTTCCTTATTTTGTTGTTATTTATTAATAACTTTCTACTTTTCTCTCTTCAATTGAGCATAGTTGGGTTTAGCAACCTCCTTTTCTAGACTTAACTCTACGACAAATTCTAATTTACTCTGATTCAGAAATAAAAATCCTACTACAAACTCTTGAGCATACAAGTGAACATAATTATTTTCTTAGCTGTATCATTGCAGGTCTGTAGCACAAACTTGAAGTAATTGCATAAACGACACATTACTATTTTTTATTGTAAAATGTTAAGGAATTTTCTGCAACAAATTTAATAAGACAATTTGTCTCAGACACCATAATACAGGAATAATAAGATACAGTTACCTGTGTGTTGAATGTATTCATGGATATCTACTGTAGTATGTTTTTGTGGATATCTACCTTAGCAAGTAGTAAGCAATGTCTTAATAGTCGTCTTATTCCTACTTTAATCAAATTCATAAGAAGCAAGACTAAAGATGGGAAAGAGATGCCAATGATTGATTTCCCAACATCAGAGCTAAAGAAAGCGATTGCTTGATACCATGTCTTATTTGGATGATAGTAAAATAAGGAGCTTTTGAGAGTTTAGAGGAACCTGTTTTTGGCCATTAAAGATGGACTTTTACATACTCTAGATTGTTTGGGGAGAGGGTGTTGTCTTGAACCAATGGGAATTGTGGAGTTCATAGGATTTTTATCTTGAAATATACTTAGGTGAGATCTCTTACTGCCTTGTTTATATAATTTCTCATGAGAAAAACCCCCAACACTGTTAATAGGGTTCTTGATATGTGCAGTCAACACATATGGCATCTCAGCATATTACAGAAGAAGCTGTATACCTGTGCACTGGAAACCCATTGCCCAAAGACATTGAGCAAATATCTCACTGGCTTCTGAATGAATCATTTACGGAGAGTTTCAAACGTAGTAAAATATCTTTTTTTTGCCAGCTTATTGCTGTCCGTAGCTATACAGTTCTCTTTTTTCTTAGTACTTTCCACACTTAACTTTCCACAGGAATATCTGAAATCAAGACAAGAAAAGGATTGGCTTTGGTGGACATTGTCAGAGAAGTGACTATGTAAGTGCTACTTTATTTTAAAATATTCATCTTGTGAGTTTAATTGCTTGATCCTTGTCTCCATCTTATCAGGTTTGTTTTTAAGATTAAGATGCCATCAGACGTTCGTATTCAGTTGATTAATGATCTGGCCGACATTGAGTAAGCACTTCTTGTCATCATCTATTATGTCCTCAGATTTTTGATACTATAAAGAGAGATCCCTGTTCTAGTTCTGGATATGAGGCTTGTTGGTTGATAACCTGCTTTGTCATTCATCCCTGAGCTGCAAGCTCTTGTCCCTTTCCTATGACATGCTTTTATTGTCTTAATTGTCGATTGGCTGTGTAGGGAAGGTTGTGTATCTCCTCAGTTTTCTGTTAAGAGTAGCATTTTTTCAATAAAAGAAGAAATATTATTAGAAAGAAAAAAAAGAAGAATAACATAAAAGAAAGATACGAATCATCATATGACAAAAATAGACACAGGAATCAAATAGACTTTAAATAGGAGATAAAGAGACACCTCTAGATAAACAACGAGGCATAACCCAAAGTGAGGTCAAAGTCAATAATCTGTCCCAAATGAATGGAGGATGCTGAAAGCAAGTAATTCTTTGAAAAATATACAATTCCTTTTCAGCCAAAGAACTGATAACCTAGCAAAGATCGCCCCTCCATAACATTTTCTGCTCTTTTTTAAACTCATGCAGAGTGAGATGATGAAAACTTCAGTTGGGGGGTAGGGTGGCGGGGGGTTAGGAAACTCAACACACACTAGAGATGTCAAAGAGCCTACTCGAATGCCTCCAAGCCACATCATTGATAATAAAATGGCTAATAAAAGCACATAAGACAATCAAAGTTAAGACTCGGTTAGATTTGCACGTTTGAAGTGGGCAATAGTGTCAATCCTCGTTTTGGATGTTGTCAAAATGAAAATTTTTAGTGTTAAGCAGAGCTTTTGCCTTGCAGCAAACAGCCAGAAAAGGCCACATTTTGACTAGTGGATGGTGGGTAAGGTATTCAAAGGACTTGCCAAATGTAGATGCTAGATGCTAGGGGAATCTTGCATTTTGCTGGGGTCTAGGAAGGTTTGGGGAAGTAGGGGCCTTTGCTCCCAAAAAGAGGCTGCACTTTGGGTAATGGATGGTCGGTAAAGGAATCAAGTGGACTTACCCAAGTTTAGGCGCCAGAAATCTGATGCTGTTAAGGATTGTATTCCGCCAGGGGCAGAAGGAGGGGGTTGGATCTCTTCTCTCTGTTGTATTTTTCCTATGTATTAATTTTCTTTTTTGATTAATCTCCAGATACAGGTTGAGCGTTGGATGCAATGATAAGTTGCAAATGGGATCGCTAATTGCTACCTTCACAAGAGCCAGATCCACACTGGTTGCTGCTGCTGCTGCATAGGAATAATACTTCAATTTTGAGCATCTTTCTTCTTTACTGTCATTTTACCCGAGGTACATTGCTCAACAGTTCCTCCTGAGAATCTCAAGGTATTTTCCATTTTGGAATCTTAGGTGCTTGGTTATGTTGCTTAGGCTCGTGTATAATATAAAACTGTTACTTCCTGTAATTTGCCGGACAAGGAATGTCAACCGTCGTATTTATCCTTCTAGTTTGATTGTCCCATCTAGCTTTGCCAATGCTTAAACTTGACAAAATATAGAGAATGAGAGTGGAAATATGTTAGGCATTTAAAAAAATATATTTTCTATTTAAAATTCCTGCCAATTTCCGAATTTAAAAAATGATAAAAAACTGTAATGTTTTATTTAAAATAGTTTTCGACAGGTCCGAAGGCCTATTAAATCTTAGGGTTTGGACAAAGAATTCAGATGTATATGGATGTGGACAAGAAAAATAGAGCCCCTTTATTTAAGATCGAGTCTGGGTTCTGGCCCGTCATGGCCCATTCAATCAAAACCCTATAGCCTCTTAGTTTCTTTTTCCCATTTGCAGACACGATGGAGTGGAATTGGATATATATTTCTTTCTTCTCCTACAGCTAGTCGTCCCCCACCAGCCACCAGGCACCATTTTCTACTTGCTCCGACTTCGGACGACACCATCGCACCGTACCGCAACTATTAACGGCGCCATCTTCTTCTTCCACTGCGTCGTGCCGCACTGCACGATCTATAGTAGTTAGTGAGTGACCTTGCCTCTTATTCTCCTCCTTTACTTAATCACCATGCGAGGCTTCCCCATTCTGCTCCCTTTTGCTAACCACCATATTGCACAGCGACTGTTTAATGGCATCATCTTGTTTCTTCACCACCGCGACGTCTGCTGAAGCGCCAATCACGTCTCTTCTTTTCCTCCTTTTCCCAATCTCTAGGCGGCGCTTTGTGGGGCATTCGACTCCCTTAGCTAACCAACGCATCTCGGCTGACTTGGGCCTCTACAGTATTAGTAATTGATTGAGATCGGACAAGATTGGATGGACTTCGGAATTTACTTTTGTTAGTTGGGAGAGCTTGATTTTCTAAATTAATCACGCCATTCGATACGGGTAGATTATATTTAAGAAATACATAGATCGGTTCCAACCCAGTTATCTAAGAGATTGAATCCTAGAGTGTCATTTCTTTTTTTCCTACGATTAGAAAAAGAAGCATAGAAAGAGAGGGAGACACTAACAATATTGAAAGAAAAAACTACTGGAATGGAATCATTAACCATGGAATTTCCATCTACTACTGAATATCGAATATTATTTACAATTATATAGAAACAAGCCAGCAGAGAAGCAATCAAAGTATAAGGACATTTCCAATCACCCACACCTGATTAGGTAGGTAGTTTCTGTCGTCTCTATGGAAGTGATTGGGGCTTAAGTTCGACTTTAGGCAATTTATGTGAGTGATCCAAGTTCAAGTCCCACTTTATGTAATTTACAACAACATTTTAGAAAAAAAAAAAGTAGAGGACATTTTCTTTCTTCAAATAATAATAGAAAACACAAGGGCATATCCCTTGTCATTTCTGCTACCAAAAGGAAAAGGAAAGGAAAAGAAAAACAGGGACACGCTTCCGTTGCTTTTTATGCACCAATCTTCAAAGAGTAGCTCATTCTATATAAATATTCTTGCCAGGTGACTTGATAATCGAACTCGCAGCACTTGGTGCTGAAAGCTCGACTCCATCGTGTTCAAGTTCAACTTTCATTTACCTATTTCTCTCTTCTCATCTCTCTAAGAAATAAGTTTTATTTGCTAACAACTATAGACTGACCTGTACAGCAGACTCCTGAGCAGCAGCATTTTGTACTTTCCTATTACGCGTGAACCCCTTTCGACTTCCTTCCACCTCCAAAAAAAACTCATGAACGACTTTTATACTCTTTACATCTTATGCACCGTGTTATCTCTCATACTACAAAACTGGACCTTAGGAAGATACGAATGCTTGCAAGCATGCCCACAACATGAACCCAAGGCTGATCAAGAGACAATCACTGCTTTCCTCGTATTGCTTTGAGAAGCATGCACAGCTGGAACTGCTTGTATATGCTTTCTCCATAAGAAAAGAAAAACAAAGAAATTAAACTCTTTATATACTGTCATTTGATGTCCTACTGGACCATATAATTTCAATTTCAAGCGTTCTGGAAGATCCATCCTTGCTGCTGTCATGATTTAAGCTGAAGAGCCCACTGTATACTCCCTCCGTCACGACTTTGTCAATTTGAATAGTCACTCTTCCAAGAGTAGTCTGGAAAAAAAGACAATCTAAATCGGACAAGGTCGAAGTAAATTAAATACATTATGCAATTTGTAAAGCTACTGCTATACCCACTCACTAACTTTGGCAAACACCATTTCATCACTAATCAATTGCCATAAATCCTGCATGCAATTTGTTCCCACAGTCACTAACAAGAAGCACTTAATGCTTGTTCAGTTAAAGAAAACATTTTCCGTTCATATCACAAAAAGATTCCAGCAACATATTGTCAAGCACAGTTGACATAGAAGGTGTGTTCGAAATGCAAAAAATTGAACCAAACAAAGGAAGGCATTACCTTTCCAAATGTATTTTTGCTTTTGCATATAATATGAAGTTTTTGTCCCTTTGGAGGTACATCAAAAGCCCATGTAAAGCCTTCTTTCCATTCTGGAGAATTATTGTGGTTCACAACCTAGAAAAAATACAAGTCAGATATTTTTACTGTGAAAGGTAGCTGTAATCAGACAGAAAAGATTATAAAGAATGTAATGTGTTTCTCCATACCAGAATTACACAAGTAGAATTATAATGCAACATTAAAAATTCTGCCAGGTTATGACCCTCTCGCCTTACAAACCATTATTTTCCGAGGTTTATAATAACATACCAAGTATATAACTTGGTCAATCATGAAAAATTAAATAGTAACCCTCCTAACTTAAATGCAATCACAAAACCGTCCTTTCTGTTTTATTTTATTACAATAATATATATATTAACTGACTGTTAAAAATTAACAATATTGTAATCATATCAGATAACTGTTATATTATTTTATTACCAAGTGATTGTTAGATTACTATATGCAGTCAAAATTTATGATACAAGATTAATGAAACGTGAGCGATAAAGATATTTTTTGTAATAAAATAAAATAAGAAGTTATTTTCATAATCATGTTTGAGTTAAGAGAATACTTTTTTATAATTTACTAAAAATCAAAAGTAGAAAATTTTTTTCTCAGTAAATCTGTTGTTTACTATTAAAGACAAAACTAAAAAACAGTCAAATGAATTTTGTCGAAGTTCAAATATGACAATGAATTCTGCATGGAACGATAAAAGCGTCACATGAAATGTACTTCCACGCCAAAATCATAATGATTTTCCAGCACCAATATTTCTAACTGCAATCCAACTGGAAATGCACTTACTAAGGCAGGAATTACCAAGTAAAGAAAATAACATTTTTTAGGTTCGTAAAACAATTATTTTAAATGGGAGGTAAGAGAATAACATCTTCAGAAGGGAGGTAAAGAAATTAATTTTTTAGAGGATGGTAAAGAAATTAACAAGTTTTAAGAGGATTTCAATGATGATATAAAAGTGAGAAATAAAATGTATTATCAAATTACCTTGGTTTGCCGAGGTGGACCATTTCCAATTGTCAGCCGACAAAAGGCATTTGTGCTTCCCACAGCCTGTTTTAGATTATTGCCACGCTTGATAGTAACAGTCAAACACCCTGGTAGGCAGTGCAACAGGCTATCTGCTTTCTCATGGAAACTTGGAGGGCAGGTTTTCATCAGCATTTGCAGGATAGGAATCGCTTCAGCTACAATCATTGCTTGAGACTTTGCAATATCCATTGGCATGTGTGACCAAGAATGCCGTAACAAGTATAGGGTATCTAACACAGATTCCTGAGCACTCTCACTACCAGACTTAAGAGCGCCTATCAAATGAGGAATACAAAGGGTAGCTGCTTCAGAAGCCTGGAGCTTAGGAAAGTTTGTGAATATCACATTTAAGGTTCTCAAGACCTCTTCGTTAATAGTTGCTGCTGACCACAACTCTCTCTCAAGTGCAGCTGCACAATAAAGCAATGGCAAGTTTCAAAACTTAGAAAAGGCAAAAGTAAATAACGATTCCAAAAATAGAGAGAAAAGACTTAAACAAAATAAAATTGAGCTAAAGAATGCTTTCTGGTGGACGTAGCAATCTCTCTTGAAAAAAGTGATTAGTTTCAAATAGCTAATGAAGAGCAAGCTATAATATAACAACTGCAAAACTATAAAAGTATGCCAGAAAGATGCAAAACTTCTTTCACACGCTAATAGGGGAAAAAGTGAAGGGAAAAAATTAATAGACATTAATCCAACTCACCAGTTAAAGATCTAATGAGCTCGTTCGATACATATTCTTGGAGCGTGTGATTTGAAAATAAAAATTTGATCATCAATGCTGCCTGACCAGCAACTTCTGGATTACAAGATAGCAGTAGTTCCTGAATTAATAATATGCCACCTGCTTCTGCAACGGCTCGCCTATTTGTTCTGCTGTGCATGACAAAGTTCTGCAATGCACAAATGGCTACCATTTTCATTTCTTCTGTTGGCTGATCTTCAAGAAGGCTTATAAGTGCACGACAAGCAGAAACAGAATCACTGGCTCTAGCAAGTCCTTCATGCTGAGAGAGGTCTCCAAGAGCTAAAGCTGCAAGAAGCCTACCAGACTCTGATCTAGTTTGAGGGTCTAACAAGTATTGTGATAAAGGTGCAATTGCATACTTGGAAATCTTCATTTCTCGTACCCTTGTATTGTTAAATAAAGATTCAAGTAATCTTCCTGATGCTTCTTCACATTGATGAGATCTTAGCAGGTCCAGCAATGCATCGATTGCACCAGCTCCCGCCATCTGTTCAGCACTTGAAGCGTCACTTCTGTCATGAACTATCAATGCACTGAGTGCCATAGTGACAGTCTCTTCTACTGTTGAAAACAGCATTTTCACCAGAACAACTAGGGGAACTTTAAAATAGTATTCAGCATTGAAATGCAGAAGATTGCAAAGAACAAAGGCAGCAGATTCCCACAGGGAATGAGGTGGTTGAGGATCATCTTGAATAATGACTTTTGAAAGCTCAAAGATGCCCCCAGCATCAGCAACTGCCTTTGGCCAGATAGTGGAAATTGTTTCCAAAGCCTTTACTGCTGTTTGCTGCAGGTTCAATATTCCAATTCCGGCAAGCTGCACAAGTGGTACAACCGCATTTTTTGTTGTGATGTCTTGTTGAAAATGTTCCTGTTCAAGAAGATAAGTCAGTAATTCTGAGCCAAGTTGCTGGATGGCTTGGGATGGAGATTCCAGAAAGGAAATTAGAGGAGCAACGACTTCGCTGGGTGTTAGATTCAAAGTTGCAAGGCTTTGTGGCTTCTCCAAAATATTTACAAGTGTTTGCAAGGCACTGTGCTGTCCCCAGAGACTAAAGTCTGAACGAAGCAAAACCATGAAAAGGGGTTCTACTATCTTTGCAGCGTCTGAACTTCTAGCGATGGCACCACTATTGGTTAAAATGCGAAATAACTCTGCAATTGTGGAGCATAATGAATTAGGTGCAGCAGGTAGCAGGGCAAGACAATTATCAATAATGCCAGCTTTGACCATGTCCAGTTTTCGTGGAGTCCGATCTTTTCCCAGCTTTATCAAAGCAGATATGCTAGCCTCAATAATCCTATGGTTTTCCCCAGATACCAAGCCGACAAGAAGATTTAGAACATCATATGAGGCAGCAAGTTCCAACTGTCTTTCATCGTCCAATAACTTCTCGAAGGCGCATACTCCAGCTTCAACTGCTTTATTTGAATCAGACTGCATGAGTGATATGAGGGGCTCCATGCATTCGGAGACTAATGGATTATCTCTGACCTTTTTACTATCAAAGACAATAGAACAGAGATGAGCAGCATTTATCTTTGACTCCAAGGAAGGAGCAGATGATAATATTTTGTAGAGATTTTCAAGTGGATTTCCTTCAGCATCAGTAAGCGAAGCCGCCTTTGAAGTATTACCTGAAGTCAGCTTAATCAAGGCCACCAGAGCAGCCTCTTGCTCACTGCCTGATGCAGTGTTAAGCATGTCAATTAATGGCTGAACAGCCTGCCATGCCAATTCAGAATCTCTAACATTTTCAGCCTCAAAAAGTTCATGAAGAGCCCGAGCAGCACTATACCTTGCACTTCTTGACCCAAGATGCAGAACTGCAATGAGCTGATTCAAGGAAGCTAGTACTGCTTCATATCGGATAATATCAGGATTGGTAAACAAGATTCTGAGCAACTCTGATATAGTGAATTCAGTCGAATCTTGAGGGCTCAAAGACAGGTATTTTGCCAATGCGTCTATAGCTCCAGCTTCAGCCGTAAGTAATTTATTCATATCACTTCCATCTGCAATACGAGTCAAAAGTCGAACAGCAATTGGAGGTGCACCGGGCCTCTCTGGAATTGGTTTCAATAGATCCACTAACAGAGGAATAGATTTCCGGGCTATAGAGCCAGTTCTTACATCTTCAATTTCAAAAAGGTGTTCCAGAACAACTTGATCAGGGCTTTGTACTAGAGAAAATTCTTGTGATAGGGCAACAGAATTTGATAAATCTGATTCTATGTAACCAAGAAGGTTTATTAGCCCCGGAACAGCACCTGATTTTGCAATTGCAAGGTTGATTCCTTTATTTCTATTACAAACAAGACTAGCCAATGCTTGGGCAGAAAAAAACCTGTCAATCACTTCATCCGATCTTAGCAGAATAGCAAGTGATGGAATGATGTGCATTGTTGTTGGTGAGATAACAAGATTGGCGTCCTGGAACAGAATGGCCAGGAGCAGAGCAGTAATCCAAATACCTTCTGTATCCTCATATTCTGCCTGTGAACGTACACACTATAGCTTAGTTATTAAAAATAAAGGAAACGATTTTAAGGCAAGTGGAAATTAGAGAAATCATTAGTATTAAACTTGAAATTAATGGCTCTAATCTACAACATGGATGGAGTTCTGTAGTGCTGTAGGCATGACAATACCACAGTGCTGAAGTGATAAACAGAACATATAACCGCAATATTTTTGCTTTTTTTATTTGTAAACTGAAAAATCAACTATTATCTATTAAAAGATATCCATTAGTTACCAGTTCAAACATATACTTGTTAAGTATTAATCCCACTGGTTCTCCTGTCCCCTTCCTACTACTTATCCCATCTAATGTTTCCTTTTTCCTAAATCGTTTTCTTCTTCTCTTAAAACTTATCTTAAGTCTGTATTTGCAGAAAATCTAAAATTTGTGTCAAATTTATTTGAAAATCCACACTTTATTCCAACCATAGTCTAAAAGAAAAAAGCTTTTTCCCCAAGCTCTCCCTTTTCATCCGTTGTTAACATTCAAAGATGAACTGAACACAGTACCATGGAATATTTCCAGTTCCTTACAAACAGCACCTACTTTAATTGCGAAGACAACTACTGAACATGGGTGGCACATGTTACAAGCAACTTGTTTGACAAAGAATACTTTGTCAGCTGGTTCTCCGTGGAGAGATGCAAGTCCAAAGAAGTTGATTCCAGGGCAGTTGATAATAGGTATCTCATTAAAAAAGAAAGACACAATAGCCTTAAAAGTCAGTGCAGGATGGGTATATTTTTCAATTCTGCCACGGGTTAATACCACCATCCATGCCTCTAATTGATAAGCAACTCTAAATGCCTAGGAACTTGTAATCTAGAACACTCAGGTAGAAAATTTACATTTTGTACACCAGAGTGCAGTTCCTCATTCCATGTTCCTTTGGTATCGGAACTGTTTATCCTATCATACAACAGTAAAGGCAACCAAGAGCAAAAGGACAGCCTACTCCGCCATCCACAAGGAGATAGGGAAAGAGGGAAGGGGAAGGCAGAGGGAGAAGAAGAATCAGCAGAATCTTGAATGGAATGTTATGCCATACCTGCGGATTGGAAGTATAATACGAAAGCTTCTCAAATAGAGCATCAAGTCCACCAGCTTCCATTACAATGACTCGGTTCTTCAGGTGAAAGGAAGATATTAAGGATAATAACCACAACGCAACGGTGCCGCCCAAGATTGTGGCTGGATCCAGAACATCAAATTTGTCACCTTCCTGAAATGCAGTTCTTTCCAGAAAGCCTCTTGGTGTTCGAACGTCAATTGTTAAAGAAGAACATCTAGAATTCCGTTTCATCATATCCACCAAAGCATGTATAAGGGGTTTTAAATATCCAGAGAGATGCAGTTCATCCATCGACTGCTGTTTGTGCTCTTTTGCGGCACATATGAGCAATGCACTCCCTCCGACTCTCACCTCTGAGCTGGAAGACTTCATTATTCTATTAGCTAATGAACTAACTGACTTTGATTGTGCAACTAACAGGTTACCTAGCACAACCGGATGGTCAGCACACAGCCTAGACAAAATTTCTATTGCTTTGTCCTGTACTGGTGGAGGGCCCTCAGCCAGGCATCGCACAAGTAACTCTAAACTTTGAACTTCAGCAAGGGCAGAGCATGGTTGGTAAGTGCAATTCACCGCTTGTTTTGTTCTAGCCAATTGTGCAACTACTTCTAAAACATCCAAAGCATCTCTTTTATGCATATCCATTGAATTCAAGGATTCAATGAGGGCAAGAACAACAAAACGACACTGAATATTTCCTGTGAGCACATCACCTACTGGGAAGTGCTTCAGCAATTGATGAAGAGCTCTTGATGCATTCTTTTTACCTTCTGGAGTTCCATCTCTCAACACCCTTGTCAAAGCTGACACAATATCTTCTGCCAGCGCTTCAGCAGCAACATGGGAATCAGATAAAAGGTTGGCCAATGCAGCAACAGCAGTTTCAGCAGAATTAATAGAAGAAGTTTTAGCCAACTTAATTAGAGGTTTGACATCTCCCTTTGGAATATAAGTCTTCTTCTTAGCAGTTTTTTCCTTGGTTGGCCGGGACAGAGCGCTCAACGCCCGAGCCAATTGTGTTGCAACAACTTGAGTATTGCTGGTCATAAGTTCCATGCACGGATTAACAATCTCATGAGTTGCAAGACTATCACATATATCTTGCCTTGTGCTAAATAGATCAGCCAGGACAGAAGCTGCACGTTCTTTAGTTTCCTCATTTGAGGAGTTGAGGACCTGGACAAGAGAACTCAATCCTTTATTAGCTGCAGATCCTTTATGCACAAGATCCTTATGTGACGCTGCTGCAAGTACATGACCCAAAACTCCAATTATATGGGACTTTGAGATTGGAAAGTCTGCTAGAAGCAAAGCTAGTAGCTGATTAATGGTGGCAGAATCGGCAGTTCGAACAAGCTTTTTTAGTGCCATGGCTGAAGCTTCTTGGGCTTTTGGTCCTCCATTTTTTAGAAGCCATAAGAATGCTGGAATTGCTCCCGCACTTTCAACACAGGCACGGATGTCCTCACTATGACAGCATAAATTCCATAGGATATGCGCTGCGTCCTCCCTTGCCTTCTGCGATCCAGTCTCCAACAGCTGCACCAATGGAGGAATCCCACCAGCAGCAGTGATAGCCCACTTGCTCTCAGCAACTTGGTCAGTCAAGATTGCTAGCAACTGAACGGCATACTCTTGATGCTGCTCACTGGATAATCCCAGGAATGACATGAGTAACTGAATTCCTTCTCTCTTGTCAATGGCCTCCCAAAGGGATAATTCGTCGTGACATAAGCGGGAAAGGCAAATTATCAAGTGCTCCCGTACATCAGCAGCAGCCATAGTTATGAGTCCAATAAGGACCCGTTTTGCTTCTGCATGATTCAGCAGTCTTGATAGGCAGGTGTTGCCATACAAGCTAGCCATAGCCTCAAGGATAGCCTCTTGAATTAACTTTGTATCTCGAGGCTTTAGTAGCTTCACTAATATACCTTCTATATGCGTTGGATTCAAAGTTTCCTCATTACCATCAGAACTTTGCTCGAAGACCATCAGGGCATAGGCAAGGGCTCCAATTACATCAGCTATTGGTTCAGATAGCCGAGAAGACTGTGATAGTTCCCCAAGATATAGTATTAATGCAGACAACCCACCGAATATATTTGCCAAAGCTTGTGTTGCATGCTCCTGCAAAGTTTGGCCATGCTCCCCTTGCATACACTCTCTAGAAGGAGCAACTACAGCCCCAATAAGCACACGAACACCATCGGCATCTATAACAGCTTGCTTGGCATTGGTTGACTTCGATGAGAGCACCTTCAGAGCATCAGCAGCACTGGCACGAACAGTAATATCATTTTTCTGACCTACAAGCTGAAGCAAAGCTTTGACAGCACCAGAATCAATTACTTTAGAAATACTGTCACTGAAAGCCAACATCATCCGAGCCAACAGAGTAGCCGCATTGGACTGAGAAGCAGGGTTGTCAGAAAATAGAAGACCTACTATGATGTCTACTCCTCCAGCCTCAAGTGTTACTCTCCAATATCCATCCTTATCACCACAAAGATTTCTCAACGCCCCGGTTACAAATCCCTCAACTACTTTGTCCTGCTTCTTTTTGGGATTTAGCTGATCCCATAAAGTTGGTACTACACCTTCTGTAACGAATATTTTCATACCAACATGATCATCTGAAAGTCCACCAGCAGATACTTCATATACTGCCTCTGCTGCTGCCTTCCTAGCTTCAATTGATTCAGATTTCAAAAGTGAAAGTAATGGTGGGATACATCCACCTAGAAGCACCTTTAGCCGCAATTCTTCATCTTTGCATAAAGCACCCAGAGTTAGAGCAACATTCACTTTTGCCACAGGGGTTCCATTCCGGAGTACAGATACAAACAATGGCATTGCTTGGGCATGAGAACCAATAAGCGTCCTTGCCTCCTTTTTTCCTCTGGCAATACCAAGCAGACGTGCTGTGGTAAGTTCTTTCTCTTGTGGTGAAGATATTTTGGCGTGCAGTTGCTCAATAAGTCGAGCAACTGTGGCCATCTCTTTCTCTGGATCATCCATTGCCTTTGTTCCATTGGAGCCCCTGGATGAATCAGCAAATTCAGTTGTCCATAACTGGCATTTAAAAGCACAACACAAAAGGGCAAGAGAGCAGGGGTTTTTGAGGGGAGGGGAGGGACAAAGGAACAAGTGAAACCAATAAGCTGATCTTTTGAAAGAACAACCAACAGCTTGGCAATGATGTGATCATTTTTTTGTATCAGAAATTCAACACATATCTTTGAAAAGGATTTTGATCATTTCCATGGATTGGAAAATTGAATTCAATTTATTCACTTTCTTTTTGCTCTCTCTGATACATATATATGATTTTTATACATGGAAAAAGTAGATGGAGTACAGGTGAGACACTGACCACAACAATTATCAAGTCATTACTGCCTTGCAATGTATTAAGAGAATTTCTTTGACAAGGATTTTGATCATTTCCATGGATCGGACAATTGAATTCAATTTCATTTATTTTCCTTTTGCTCTTTCTGATGCATAGATATGATATTTACAATGGAAAAAACAGATCGAATGCAGGTGAGACACTGACCACAGTATTTATCAAGTCATTACACTTTGCAATCAATTAAGTAAAGACAGTGTTGCCAACCTCGACTGAGAAGAAGATACGTGTACAGAGTCTTCTAGTTTAGAGGAGGGAGACTTTGGCATTTGCACTAACATGCAGCTTTAGCTTGCTCCTTAGCTGCCTGGAAATTAAAGTAACTTGTTGAGTCTAACAAAGCAAAGACAGGTTAGGCAACATCCAGCCAAAGATGTAAAGCAACAGCAATTAAAGCATTAAATTGCTACGGCAATAATTGGAACAAAAAAAATTCCACAATATTAATATAGTCATTTGAACAAGTAACTTTACCCATTACTTCTTAAGGATAATAACCCACAAGTTTCAATATGATGACAAAAGCACCACAAACATATAGCAAGAAAGGAGCAAAAAAGAAAAAAAACAAAAATCCTTCTCTTGGACCCTTCAAAAAGTTTTTACATCATGTACCTTAATCCCTTTTCTATCCGTAAAGGTCCTCTGCTTCGGCTAACTTCAGATCTTCTTTAGCAGCTTGCTTTGACCCAAACATTTCCAGGTGATGCATTCAGATGGTTTTTAGGATGACCGTCACGTCTCTGAGGAATGAGGAACAGGTCTTACTAGTTTTTCCAATGTCCACTTTGAGCCAACAACTACAACTTTATTTACCATTATCAAAATATTACCAGCAGAAACTTTAGAATAATAGCAGAAAATTCCAAGTCTCAGGTATTTTGATATCCACTTATGGAAAAAAGACCTTGATAACAAGAATTCACATTTTCTGTTTCCAATATTTTTTCCAACTTAATTACCACAATCATTTTTTTTTTCCACCAAAGAAAACAATAATTACAAAATAAGACCATCCAAACTCCACCCATAAGACACAAGAAATTAAATCAAATAAAGATAGAAGAGAGGTGCCATGTTGTCCATAGAAGGTAACAGCCCCTTTACACATCCGAATGGTGATCTACAAAGGGAAAAGAAAATGAAGAAAAGAGGCAGAGAGATACCTCGCGGAGAATGCAAATGTCGAAGAACTCCCTCCTCCAGCTAACGTGGAATCTGCCTTCCGGGCATGTGAAGCATCAGGAAGCTTAATTCTTCACCATCCAATTGAGCATTGAGCACAAGAACACCCCAAATTCTGCTCCAACACAAATCAACGTCACACTGCAAGCTGTCTTTCTCTCTCTCTCTCTCTCTCTCTCTCTCTCTCTCTCTCTCTCTCTCTCTCTCTCTCTCTCTCTCTCTCTCTCTCTCTCTCTCTCTCTCTCTCTCTCTCTCTCTGTCTCTCTCTCTCTAACACAAGACGCACGCTATTTTGCTTAATTGAATCCAAATCAACAGGCTATGCAACAATGATAACGAAAACAGAGATTCAAAAGTGTACAACAATGGCGTCTTCAAATGCACATATAATTGGACATACAATTAAGAACAACCTAAATTCAAACAACAGTACTTATTATTATGATCATTAAAAATCAAAATCATAATTAAAAAAATCAAAATCACACACAAACACACCCGAATAAACAAGTAGTAAAAACGAGGAGAGTACGGAGATCAGATCGCAGAAAGCATTTCAGAACCTAGGGCAAGAGAAATGTCCTTTTCTTGACAGTCATTAAATTTAAATAACAAAAAAAAAAAACAAGCTCCAAAAGAAGAAAAAAAAAAAACCAGAAAACGAAGAAGAAAACAGTAAATCACCTCTCTAATCCCGTCTGTTAAGAACCAAAATGCGAAACCCACCTAAATGAAGACACAGAAACAAAGGTAAAGAGGGAGAATCGCCAGAGATGAAAGAGAAAGCGATCAGAGCGACAGAGAGGAGAGTCTGGGTCTTTTCGTTTCTTTTCTCCGTTTGTTTTCTTTCTTTTTTCGGTTTTCGTGTTTTTTTTCTTTTTTTTCCAAAAAAAATATATATATATAAAATCTCTAATTAATATTTAATTAGAAAATTAATTATAAATTTAATGTTAATTGAGGATTAACTCGTAATTTAATTTTAGTAATTAGGTGTAATCATCGGAGATAAATCCAATTGGATCCTTCCACGTGTAAATTTTATTTTTACCCAAGTTTCATGGGATTTGTGCTCTTTGGTCTCTTGTTATTATTATTTTATGTACTATATACATATATATATATAGTTTTCTTTTTTGTATTATATTTTGGGACAGGGATAACTGTCAGTACTTTTATACAGCAAAAAAATTAACTGCCATGTGAATAACTCTTTATCTCTATATATATATATATACACACAGACACATATAAATATAATGTTTTTTGGGCACGTTTAATTCTCTAATTTGACTGCTGACATTTTTAATGTATTTCATGTTTTTTACAATTCCAAGGTGCTTTATTTAATATCACAATAATTACTTTCATTTTATATAATCTGAAAAAATAATAATAATAATAATAATTACTGCTCATTATAATTTTCAGTTTAATAATTTTTTAATTAATTATAATTTGTAAATTTAATTATTCCCATAATTTAGATACTCCTTTTCTATTTATTGCAAGTAAATAGACATGATTTTAAAATCACAAAATACGAAAATGGAATAAAAATTTATAATTATGATAAATTAATTAATCCCATTTTAGTGATATACATATACACATATACATATATATATATTGATTAAGTTTGTAAAGAATGTTAAAATTAAATTGGTATTATAATGAAGTTTCAATTTTATAAGTATGTGAAATCAGTACTTTTATACTAAAGTTTGCCTTTTTCAAGTACTTAAAAAAAAGCTTGAATCTGACTTTTAATAAGGAAAAATTTAAACTAGTATGATAATTGGATACCAATATATAAGCAATATATACATATATATACATATATATATATATATGTATATATGTGTGTTTGTGTATATAATGTACCATAATTATTAAAGAGAATGATTAAGTTAAGACTTCACCAAAAGTTCCTCTTAAAGTATCTTTTGTACTAGCAACTAATCACTTCAGTTAATTAACTTAATTAAAGAAAAGGATTAATGTAATCATATGAAAAGATTTAGAAAAAAAAAAAACATTACCTTTTTAAAAATAATAATATCTTAACACAAAATAGATACTGTTGACATATCTTAAATTTTAGCGATATTTATTTATATTTTAAGAAATAATGTACGTGAGTCTTTTTTATATTTATTATAAAAAATATTTAATGTATATTTTAAATAATTTTTGTACGTGAAAAATTCTTATAGTGTCTTTATGAATAGCTTTGTTAACATATTAGCGATGTACTATCAGATTACGATAGTAAAAAAAATTTATATTTTTATTTTAANTTGCATTTATTACAAAAGTAGAGATTATTGAGAAGAGAACAAAGTATGAGTAAGAAGAGAAGACAATGCATGTTTGCATGTCTGTCACATATATAATATAATATAATATTATATATGTATTGACTTAAAAGCATCTAAATGAAAGCTATGAGTTAATCCAAACCTCTCATTCTTGTGATTTGTATATCTCATGACAAGGACTGTATTATATTCATCACAAACATATACACACACACATACAAATAAATACTTGGAAGATTAAAATAATAATATAAGTGGATCTAAGCCACAGTACTTTTTAGTCAAAATTTTGGTCCAACCTACCATACTATTTTAAACTTGGAATTGATGCATGGTTTGTTTGGCATCAAATTAAAATTAATAGGAGGAGATTTTGGGAAAAGGACTTCACTGTTTGAATCATCAAATAAACTATGTAATAAATTAATTATAATAAGGTAGATATATATATATATATAATATATATTTATATGTGTGTATGTATGAGATGATTTTGGATTTACATGAAGATCAAGGAAGTTATGAATTAAATAGTAAGCCATGGTCTGATCCAAGGACCTCTTGGATCTGCATCCCCTCCCACCACATGCCCATCCCAGCCAACCATCTTAGCTACCTTATGATATATATATATATATGTGCACATATAAATACATGCATGATAATATTTAGTGGGTAACTAATTTTGTTAGAGAATTTAAGGTAAGGTATCATTTTTTCACCCTTTTTTTTTAATTATTTTTATGCATCAGTCGATATAAGTAATTTTAAGTTTACGAAATAGTGAAAATAAAAGTAATTTAATTCAGATTTTATTTTATTTTAAAAAATTAAGATAAATTTTTGTAAAAATAGAATTAGAAAAAACGTATAATAAAAAATAAATAAAAAATGAAAAAAATGTGGAAAGGAATTGAAATATGAAATGCAACAACCAACCACCAAAGGGAAAGGGAAGTTGAACAACAAGAGAAGAAAGATGTGGAAACCATACATACATACATACATACATACATACATACATACATACACCGGTGAGAAAAGGAAAGATAAGGATTCTTGTATTAGGGAGGGGACAGGCATCATTTTCATATATCCACACTGTGTAACATATTAAGACAAATATACATATACTTACATATATACATATACATGTACATATACATATTTTACCCTCTTAATATTTCTTTTTCTTTTTGAGAAAAATTTTTATTCTATATTTCCCCTTTTTTTTTAATTAATCTTAATTCATGGGAATCTTTATGTATGTAAATGCTATTATACTGACTTTTTTTTTTAAAAAAAAAAGCTAATTATTATTCATGCACATACATGCATGATATGTAAATATGTATTAAATGCATAATAAATTACATGTTTAAAATTTTATATTAAAAAACATAGTTTAGATATGCACTATTATTGATATTGATTTTAATAAAAGTCGTAGAAAATAAAATTAGTGTGATTTATGATATATTTTGTGGAAATCGTAATCTTTAATATATTTAACATTAATAAATATTAATTGACTTCAAGACTTCGAAACTTTTTGATGTAAAAGACAAAGTTCAATTATATTCGACGTTGAAATATCTCTGTGTATTTCAAGAAATAATTCACTTAATTACCTTTTAAGATACACAAATCATTTAAGATAATATTATGTACGTTTAGGAAAATAATTTTTAGAATCTCATTTATTAGCATACTGTATGAACAGTTTTTTTTGTATAAATATTTTCTTTAAAATTCATTCCACACAATATGTTTATAGTGTAGAACATATATAATGAAAATTTTCAAAACCAAATTTAGAAATTTTTTAAAAAAAAAACATGTGTCAACAGGATTTGAATGAGTTAAAAATTAAAAGTATTTCTCTCGAGCCATTAATAGAAAAGTACATAATTTATGTAGAAGATGAATACATTTTTAGAAGATTCACGCCTGCTCTTCAATTGTTTCTCTTCTTATTAATGCTCTTACAATCTTTCACAATTAACCTCATATTCTTGAGTTAATTCACATTTCTTAACTTAAAAAATTCAATGAGTAATTAGTGTGTTGATAATTATCTTTTCCTCTACTGTTACCGTAATATTTTATTTTTTTCAAAGGACGACATGATAGTAAGATATATGTCATCAAAATCTTCTGTTATATCAGGATGAGCTTTCGATTCCTTTGTATCTTCTTTCATATTAGCTTCTTTTTTTTTTTTTTGCTTACAAGCATTATATTACACTACTTACTATATCCTTCCGTGACCTACAAATCTGATTATTCTGTAATTCAATTAGGTAAAACCCTTATGTTAATTTTTATCTCGCAGTTGTACCAACTCTTTTGAATGGATAAGATATAATCCGTGATTTCTCTACAATGTGATTCGTGCTAAAAAAAAAAATGGTGTACTTGGCGACTCCTCCACCATGTTCTTTGTTGCTTGTTACTTTACATCGAGAAAAGTCAAAAGCTCATTCACCAAGTGAATTATGCATCCTAATAAAAGCAAAGAAGAAATTTGATTTCTAAGGACAACAAATTAAAAGCAATCGAGAAACGAACCAATCATAGACATGTTATATATATACATTGAGGAGGAAATTATGGGTAGAAATATAAATAATGGTAGATAGAGGGTATGATGCATGCCATAAAATGGTGTAGTTGAGGGTGGGGGAATTGAAGGGGGATTAATTACTTGAGAGATTTATTGTCACATGGGGGAAGGAGATGAAATAACTAAATTAATTATAATGGTTTAATGTTGATAATTTATATATGAATAATTTATGGTTGTGTGATCGATTTGATGCACACAAAAATTGATAGTTGGATATTGATGGGATATTGGGACAAGCTCATGGGCTATTTTACAAATTTCAATTTTGACTTTTGCCCAATTCAGAAAAGCTATATATATATATATATATATATTGTACACTGATTTTAAAACATGGGCTATATCCAAATAAATTTGTTTGTTGTTTTCAATTGGAAAAAAGGAAAAAAGTGATTTCTTTAATTGAAACTAAAGGATTCATGAATTAGGTTAAAATTTGAATGTTATCAATTTAATTTATTGAATCAGTGTGTACCATTTCAAATCAAAATACCCAAAAATACTAATTGGGTCAATCTTTCTTCAACTACAAAAGGAAAGTTAGCCCAATTTCAGAAGGAAAGAAAGTAATATATATATATATGTATGTATGTATGTATGTGAATGAGGAGGCCCAAAATGAACCCATTAAACTCGGGGGCACAAGTTACAATCTTTCTTATAGACCCACATCACAATTCACTAACAGATATACAAATACACCCCCCCCGGCCTTATCATCTGTATCCCCTACCTTCTACATGGGGCGACTCGCATCGTCACATTCATGGACTTTTCAAGTCTCGTGTGGTACCGTGCGATCGCATGAACATTTCCCCTCTTAATCACCTGCCTGCCTCACTTCACTTCAAAATGGCTTCTGCAGGTACATGAACATATCCTGCAGCGGCGACATCTGATTCGCTCCGGAAAACTGGGATTCAAACCCATTCTCCACCGTGGCATCTATGTAATTATACGGAAAATCAAGCCCGCTTCTCCAGTCCTTCCATTTCGGCTCGCTCTGCACCTCACACGTGAATTCCGGCGACACAACGTGCTCCGAGCAACTCGAGTCAGTGTGCAGCCGTGGCACAGAATCCGACTTGTCGAAGCACATCAAGTCACTCTTCACCCCCACCGTCGGAGCTAGAGGCAGCGCAGACTTGTTCGTGAATCCGGTCAACCCTATCCCCGGAACCGGCTTCTTATCCTCCACCTCATCATTACCCCAGAAGCTCTGTTTCAGGTTTCCGGCCACTTGCGGCGGTGTCTGCTTCTCGATCGACCCCTTCTTGTTGTATATGCGGCACAGAACCCAATCGTCCAGCTGCAAAATCAACACCGTTGGTTTAGTCACTAATAAAATGCATTATGTTGACATATTTGAAAATCTGATTTCATCGCTATCTCCTTGTGCCACCCACGTCGGAGGAGATAAGAAGGAATATTTTCCTAAACTGGAGATTAATAATATTTGATTGATGGGTTTTGCTAATGTGACGGGCGACTGCTTCAGACATATAAACGGTGACGTCCTTTTTCCAATGACGTGGATTATTTATTAGCCGTATAACTGGTACCAAATGGGGACCACACGCAATTAACCATGGCGGGGACCACTAGAACCCCACCGACTATAAATCTACTGACCCTATACAGTTCACCGTTGGTAAACGGATCTACCGACGACGTTATACCATTGGCTAATTCCCTCGGTATACCGTCAAATCCTTAGCTGTCTTCTGCGGCCGCCGAAAAGAAAATTGACAGTTGTGGACCCCTACAGGCTTTAACAGCGTGAAGGGGCAAAATTGTCATTTCAAATTCCACATCGTGGAGCAAAGCTCATCATGCAGAGAAAGGTGACTGTACAATTAAAACTAATAATCTGAAAGAGGAAGAAGAAAACTGAAACCGTACCCTTAAGCTGTTCTTCTTCCGAGCCGAACGATCGACGTCGGCCAGCCGATACTCGTGCATAATCCAATTGGTTTTTTCCCCTTTAGGCGCTTTCCCTGCGTAGAAAACCAAAGCCTTTTTAATCCCAACCGGCTTCGGATGCCCAATCGGCTTATCGGCTCCGGTCGCCTTCCAGTAACCGCTCCCAGCCGCCCGGTTCGGCCTCGACCCATTCGGGTACTTCCGGTCTCTTGGTGAAAAGAAGTACCACTCCTTCTCTCCGTATAAGGCCATATCTGTAGTTTCACCATTCAAAATAACGACAAATAATGAATTCATTTCACTAATCATCATAACATACATGTTTCGAAAATACCACGAGAACATTTAAAAAAAAAAAGAATAAGAAATTCACCAGGTAGATCCCATGGATCGAATTTGTAGAGGTCGATTTCGGCGATAATCGGGGCGCCGATAGGCTGCGAGGCGCATTTACGACAGAGATAGTGTGTGACCAGCTCGTCGTCGGTTGGATGGAACCTGAATCCCGGTGGTAGCTGTAAATCGGCTGTAGGTGACGTCATTGTGCCTATTTTACCCTCTGCTTCTTTTTTAGTATCTCTTCTTCTCTGGTGTGATGTATTGTAATGTTAGGTTAACAAGGACGGCGCTTGAAACTTCGAACGAAAGAGGTGGAGGGGAATATATAGGAAGAGGGAGAGGACACGTGGCCCGGGGGTGAGTATGGGGAAGGTAGGCTTCTAGAATCCACGTGGGGGATAATGTTAAGGAGAGGTTTCAAAGGCGTGGTATTGTGGTGATGACGAAGGGGACACGTGTCAGCCACTGAAGTAAGGCGCGTGCGTGTCGATAGCCCACAACCAGGTGATTTTGTCATTGCTTACGACACCAGTTTTGGAGCGTGGCGGCACTGGCAATACGGTCCCAGAGAACCGAACTCTCCTCGGGTTTCGCGTGGGGTCGGTGAGGTTTGTTCCTTTTTTTTTCTTTTAATTTATTTTAAAAGCCCCTTGATTTCGAGCCGACAGTTTAACGGTGGATGCGATGCACACGTCAGCTTCCACGTGCGGATTTGAGAAACGGTTGGGAGAGGACCGACACGTATGTAGGTACGCGCGTGCGGGTAGGTCGTTCAAAATGATGACGTAATTTTTCATCACCAATGCTTGCGGGTGCAGTGTTAAAATTTACATTAATTTTCAATTTATTTAAAATATTTTTTGCACTTAAAATGTATTAATTGTTTCTTAATTAAGACATAATAATCTTTGACTTAGCGGCGTTGACCAATTTTGCTCGAATAATTTCCTCTAAAAATAAGGCCGATCATGTTTGTTTACTTTTGGGTTACGTAAAAAAGACGGTCGTTAGTTTTAATAATTATTATAATTATAATTATTAGTCACTAATTATTAAATTTTAACCTTCCAAAAATACCAATAAAGTAAAAAAAACTAAGTTTTTAATCACTAAATAAATAATTAATTAGGTATAATTAGTGTTTTATTTAAGAAAAAAGGAAAGTGGTACGTTGAATTTGTATATAAAAAGTGAGAGATTTGGCATGATGCATTGCATGTAAATTGTGTGTTGATTAAAATTAGTTAGTGGATTCAATATATAAGTGGCATGAATTGAAATTTGGTAATTAATTAATTAATAATTTGTTAACAAAATTCAAGTTATCGACTAATATATTAATTTTCCAACACTAATTATTTAAATTTCTAAAATGGTCAAAGTCGGTAAATTTTATGAGTATAATTAAATTATTTAAATTTTTTATTAAATAGTTACACAAACAAAATAAAAAAGAGGGTATATTTATAACAAATTAAAAATTTATAAATTTATTTAAAAATCACACTTATTTTGACCAAAAGACAATAAAATTTATTTGAACAATAAGAAAATTTATGTGAAATTGAAACACCATATTGCAAATAAATTCATATGAAAAATAGGGTTTTATAATAGATCCTTATATATATATATATATGTATGTAGATATATTTATAATGTAAATAGAGTTTATATTAAACACGTATTACATTAATTAATTGTAAAAAAGGATTTGATTTGGATAATGGTATATCCCCTAAAGTAGATATATATATATATATATATATATATGTGTGTGTGTGTATGTAACTTGAGATTGTAGGGGAGGAGATAAGGTGGAAAAAGGTACGTTTTGGCATAATAACATTTGACCAACACCACACAAACTAATCAATCTAATAATGTTGCTTCTTAAAGTTGTTGTTCTTGCAAATATTTATTAAACCCTTGATTTGTTTTCCATCCAAATTAAATTTTTGTGGGTCAAAAATAAAAAAAAATTTGATATTGACTAAATAACTTTGACTTTTAATTATTAAGTTTATAGAATTTATATATATATATATAATGTTTGCTTAAAATATATACCAATAAAATTAAAATACATTAATTGCAAATTTTCAATTCATTTATTGCATTTAAGACTTTAATTTGTTTGAAACAATTTATAAATATTGCAATTCACTTACAAATATATACTTAATTCATTTTGGAAATTATTAAATTATATGAAATTTACAGAATTTGATGTACCCAAAAAAATTGATTGAATTTTAGAATTACCCTCGAAATTTATTCGAGAGTAATTAAATATTTTCAATAAAAATTCACATTTTTTCTTATTAATTTAGTGCATTTTCAAAAAAAATTAAACCTAATTTTCGAATAATTATGGTAGATTATTATTGATTTATTTTTTACCACATATACAAACACACACAAACATATATATACATATATATATAGATACTTGTTTGATTTATAAAAAAAAAATAATAAAAAGAAGAATAAAATATAAGGTCTTGGTTTGATTTTGAATGATGACGTGTAAACGGACGACGTGGATAAGGATGAAGGAAGCTACCAGGCAACAGCTCAAATGGCCATCTACGTTAAAAATGGATTTATCAATTTCCTACGTGGATTTAATCGCATTTACTTTCGGTGGCCGTTAAATTGGAGAATGTCTGCGTCACCGTCAAAGTAGACCTCATTAGATGACAAACCAATAACATTGCGCCACGCCGTAGCAGGTCGATGAATTTCTACGCCACGCATGACTTAAAACTTTGTCGTTTTGATACGCGGATGCAACAACATCGACCTAATCGAGATCCCCCCTCCAAGTAACGGTCGAAATGTCGAAAAGGTCCCTAGTTATGCCACGTGGTCTTGTATGATTGGTTGATTTTGTGAACATATTCGTCATTTTAATACGTGTATGGTCAATGGAGGGTTGCGAGCCGTTGACTAGGAGCATGAATTTCACGTCGGAGAGAAAATGGGAGAATTATTACAAACGATATAAATAGGAAAATTAATATTTAATTAGATGATTAGTATTTTCATTTAAATAAATTAATAATTAATTAATATTAATTTGAATTTGAACGGTGTAACTCATTTAAAAAAAAAATTGAAAAAAATTAATTAATTAATTGATAAAATCCGAATTAATTAACACCAATTTCTTGGACCCAACAAAAAAAGTTTTCCCTCCAAATAGTTTTTCATAACATTTTCTATACATACACACCACACACACACACACACACACACACACATATATATATGTGTGTGTGTGTGTGTGTGTGTGTGTATATATATATATTGGGTTATAGAAAAAAAGTTAAAACGTGGAAAATACATTACTTAAGGGTGATGAGATGCTTTGAACATGGACATGAATATTTATTTTTGTTGAACTCAAAAATCTCTACATTTGACAAAGACTTCTCTTTGCCTAACTTACAACAACTTGCAACTAATGACTTTTTCAGAACATGTTCTTTGTCCACTTCATTATCAGCGACCCTATATATATATATATATATATATATATATATGTATGTATGTATGTATATATATTTTATTTCTTAGATATTATTTTTTTGTTCTTATGGTTTTGAATTGTATATTAATATTCTATATCTTTTTATTAAGAAATCGTGCTATTATCAACATATATATATCATTAATAATAAAACATATTAATTTTTACGTAAAAAAATGTTAAATTAATCTCTAAAATTTAATACTTACTATAATTGGGTATTTTAATATTTTTTTTCTTTATAATTTGATTCTATGTATTTTCTTCTATTTTTAATAAAAAAATTAAAATAGTTAAAATAATAATTTTAACTAATTATGTAAAATAATATATTAATAAATTAATAATGAATTTGTATTTATTTTTTTTATAATTAATTTAATTAATTAGTCAACTTTTTGATAATTTTTTTAAAAAATAAAATAATGTACTAATTTTAAGCCCATTTTTTTCCATACAATTCCGACCACTTTCGAATTTAAATATATATTATTAGATTAAGTAGAGAATGAAAACCACAAGTTACAAGAAATTTTAGTGCAAATTGTGATTTATTTCGTAATTATTATGTTTTTATTATTAAAATTAGTTTGGTAAACCAAAATTAAAAATTAAATTACATGCTTACAATCCTATACATACAATCGTATATGTTATTTTTTGGGTCATGTGGGTGTCAACGAGAGTCCTTCGGCTAGCCAATGGATTTCTACTTTCTACTACTAAAAAGTAGATTGTGATAATTTACCAAATGAAAAAAAAAAAAAAAAAAATAATATAATAATAAAATAAAATAAAATAAACTTGTCGTGCGCTTCAAGTTTTCCAAAACCCATTATGTTGTCGTTTTGCTTTGGAGGATTCCACGTTTCGATATTTCATTGGTTTTTAATTAATTCCATGCTCGCTCATGAATACGACGTCGTTTTGACAACTTTTTGAAAAAAAAAATAATAATAAAAAAATAAATGAAATTTAGTAAATATTAATCACGATTTAAGCGGTGTGTATGTAGCCTTTTGTTTATTTTTTATAGTCATCGTACAAAATCACATGCATATTATATGTATATATGTATGCATACATGATTAATTAGGGTTTCACTGTAAGTATTATTGCCAAATGTTATAATCAATACTATGATACATACTATATGTATGTGTGTATATATATATATATAGATTATATGTATCAAGTAAATTAAAGAAGATAAGAACAAAAAGAATTCGTGGGTCGCAAAATCAATGTGTCGGACGGGAGCTTCTTTTTTTTTATTTTAAAAAAATTTGAGACGAATATGAAATTAAGATGGATTTTCAGCCGTCCATTTTTTATACTTGTAATTTTTATATTTATACATGTCGGTTAATATGTTATATATATATATATATATATTTTTGTCGTTTTGCGGGGAAAGTAGAGACTCCGCATGCTGTATAACCCAAGACAAAAGTCTTCTCATTGTTTGGGTCATTCTTATATTGTCATTATTTTCTGCAAGGGAAATTGACATGTTTGTATTAAATAATATTAATTAACTTAATCTTTGTATTATAATTAATTAATCGTAATTTAATTGTAATAATACGGACAGAAAAAGAGCAATGCGGATGAGTTAATTAAGACGGTGGTGAGTGAGACGGCGGCGCCCAAGAAATCAGATCACAGCAAAGTTTAAAGCGTAATTAAAGGCATAATCTTCTGATTCTGCTTCTAAATCCTGTTTAATTATATAAGTTAGCTAAGTGTACGTATATAATATTATAATCATAATTATAAAGCATAATCTTCTGATTTGTCTAAATTAAGCAGCAAATTATCCCTACTGGTTCAATTAATTATGGAATTAATGGTCAGAGAATAATTACTTAAATTACGGCGGTGTGGTTGCTTAATCACAAAGCTCTCTTATATATATATATTTAATATAATATAATATATAAAGATTTTATGTTTATAAAAAATCAAAATTTAAATTTCTAATATAATCCAAAATTTGGATAGCTTATGGGTCAAACCTTGTTGGGTTAAGGTTGTAGCCTCAAGAGGGTCATCGGAATACCAATTTTTTTAGCCGCCAAGCCACACAATGGAAGAGGCGTGACCAAATTGGTCTTCATCCATAGGGAATTGGGGGGCCGAGTATATATAAGTTGTATCGTATAAGGTTAAATCACGTATTGTGTATATTATTTACTGTAATAAAAATTAGGCAAACTAACATTTTAAATACATTCGATTAAATTAATGAGTCTTGACAACTTGAATTTTGTATTCTACGTGAAGTTTTAACGAATTGTTAGCCTTATTAAAATTAGTTTGAGCACTGTTCATTTTTCGATCGAATAAATGACTTATTTCTTTTTACAATGTGGTGTATAAAATTTTTTCGAATGTATTGTCAAACGGGTTTTTAATGAAATGTTGTCTTATCTGATCGTCGAATCACAATCGACTTTTGTCTTGAAACAACTAATGAAAAACGATGTTTTGTTAGTTTTCGTAGTGACAAGCAAGAGGCATAAGGCGAACGTGATAGTGAAAATTGATATAATCAAAGCCTACGACAGAATTAAACGAGAATATTTGGAGGCTATGCTTCTCGACTTAGGTTTATTTATGTATGTTGACGTTTTAAAAAGATTAGTACATGGTTGGACGTGTTATTCATATTTTTAGAATGAATAATTTATCAATTGGACAAATATGTATGAGTATATGTATATGTATATGAGTATAACTGCCATGACATAATTAAAATGCATTAACCCTGTACAATGAGTTTATATATGTTAATTGGTAATTAAGCGCGATAATTTTACAATTAAGGAAATAATTAAATGAAGAGTAATTAACTAAATGTCGGGCGGCGAGGACGACGGTTCAGTGGCGCAAATGGGACAAACCTTTTTGATTTGTAGCCATTTGCTGATACAATCCGAATGGAAAGGATGCTCGCATGGCAGAGCAACCAGCGGTTCCTCTTCCTCGTACTCGACCTGACAAACCACGCACCGATCGATTATTCCGCCAACCTCAGGTCCAAATTTTGACGATCGCAGGCAATTCGAGATTTGATTCAACGAAAATCCTCTCTTCTCCACTCCAACAAACTCTGCTAGAGCAATCAGTTCTTCGTAAGATAATTCATCTGGATCGATCTCATCTTCTTCCTCAATATCATCCATATCTTCATCACTGTAATCACTGTCCAGAAACCCTAGGCCGTCCTCGAAATCGTAACCTTGGAAGTATCCGTAATAATTATAATTGCCTTGGCTAATTTCTTCTTCTTCTTCTTCTTCTTCTTCGTCTTCGTCCTCAGTTTCGCTTTCGATTGTGGCGAGCACTGACAGTGCCGTCTCTTGTTCTTGCAGGTTATTAATGGCGAAATCCGAGTCCGCCTGCTCCTTTCTTTGTTTGGTGAGGTCTTGGTTGTCCATTGAATATCGGTGAAGCAAATCGCGGAATACAGAGTGAGAGAGGAATGGTTGAAACATAAAGGAATACAAATGGAGGTTTTCTTGCAGGTAAGTGTAACTTAGATGGGAAGAAAATGGTGATATTCCAGATTTGGAGATGGAAGGTGGTTAAGGTTTGATACCAGGCTTTTGCCTTTGGTGTAGCTATAGATAGAGAGAGTGAAGGCTTCTTATTGGACAAGGCAAAAACCATCTCTCATAATTTGTGCCTAAACCTTGCCTAATCTCCACGTAATTTCTCCTTCTTACTGTATAAATATATACTTACATGAGCATTCATTCTTGTTTTTTTTTTTTTTTGGTTTTTGGACAAAGCTAAACATTGCATCTACTCACAAATTCATTAATCTTATTTTGTTAAGTTTATTAGATGATAAAAGATAAAATTTATACCATCTTTATTATATGTGGATTAATTGAAACAGTACAAATCTTATTATTAATTCTTTAAATTTCATGATCTATAAACGTGATCTTTCCCAACTACCACCTTCATGGGCGGCTCTGTTTTAAGAGCGTTACTTATTATGTTCTTACTGTGTACCACGATGATAATATAAGGATGATGACGACGATGAAGATGACGATGATGGTGATAATAATGTATGTACTATGAGATGAGATCTGGGTTTCCTTTTAACTCCTTGTTATAAAGCATTATCATCATCTTCGTCATCTTCATCATCGTCATCATCTTCATCATGGTGCAATAGTAAGAACATAGTAAGTAACCCTCTTGAACCAGTGCACCCAATGAAAGGTAGCAGCTGGGAAGGGTTACGTTCGTAGATTGCAGACCGATTTCATCTCAATCTCATCTGTTAACCTTTCGTTTCTTCCTTTCTTTTTCCCGCATGGAAGAGAAAAAAATCATAGATCATCATCATCAATAACAAATTCATTGGATAAAGGAATTTCATATACAAGAATACTAATCACACCCTTAACCGGACCTGAAAATTTTATATAATTCCTTAAATGGGAAACAAGTAAGAATTAAATTGAACCAAATGGACATAAGAGTACTAATCCATTGGCAAACTTTGGCTTCTCCTACAATTTGTACCTCTTCTGAACAAACTTTGATGTCCTCCTCACCTTGAGCTCGTGATCTTTGCTTGCATGGTTTCTGTGCAACCCGAGATTCCTTTTGCAACCATAAACTGAATCTCTGTTAGACCCTGCTTGAATTCCGACACTTCTCGGCCTCAAAGATCTCCTTAAACGAATTCCTTTATAATTCCTCCGCCGCCTAGATGATCTCCATGATCTACTACTTTGCTCTATATGTCTAGGCGTGTGATATGAAAAGCTTCTGTCGTTATATTCAATGTCACTTGTGTAGAATCCATCTTCCATTTCTCTTCTGTACCTACGACGCCTTTTCCTTCTAACGCTCATAAGCTCAACACATAAGAAAGTGCAACAGTACTCCCAGGCAGAGAACCAACACTTGATGCTTCCCCAAATCATTTTGCAAATGCTATGGCCAATGCAGTGGCAAATGCCCAGTTTATATGATAAATAAATGAATAACAGAACTGCAAATTAAAATAAGAAAACAAACAAATCAAACTGGGACTTGACTAGGTTAAAATTGACTTAATTGGGTCTAGTTACTATCAGTACTCACCGATATAGCATAGGATAAGTACCATTCCCATCTTGAACAGATTGGCAACACAGAAGTTCTCGATGTAACAAATAAGGTCCCATTGTGAGCTGCAAACCGTACTGAACAAGACACCAAGAAAAGAAAGAGGTAGTTCTTGAACTTATTTGCTCTAGCAAGAAGTGAAAATATAGTAGAAGATGTACAAATTGCTTCCAGTAATATTTACCTGCAGGACTTCCCTGAAAGAAAATCAAGTGGGGAACCAAAAAGTTTGCCGATTGAGTCAATTAAACTCGAAAAGAATGAGCTAATTACGTTGCCCATCAAGTCAGCCGAATCATCCAGGAAAAATTAACTAAATGTCCGGTAGAAGATAGATTTTATGTGTTTCTGAGTGCTGTGAAGTTGCATAGAACTTGGTAATTTCCAACAGTTAAATTTGATAATCAGATATCCGCTGTACAGAAACTTCCAAACAGAAAAGTCGTGCAAATCGAAGGATCTGCAATCGTGAAAAGAATGATTAACAATCACAGTGGAATTACAGGATAAGTAGAATTGTTATGCATTTAGAGAATATAGTCTGAAAGAAAGGAAGAATCACTCTAATGCATAAATCAGAGGTACTTGCTGCCTTTTCTTTTATGTGTGTTATCCATTGCAATGCAAAAAATAGTAGGTTTTCTTTGAACATGGGTATAATAGAATCCATAACAGAAACCTTAATTGCCTTTACCTCGTTTATAAATTCAAGTCAGAAATAAAGGAGAATGAATCCACCAAATTGCTCTACGTTTAAAGAAATGGTGTTTCTAGTTGTAGAGATATACATATAAATATCAACAAATGGGCCAAGAATACTATACTGTACAATCTCTAAATGGGCCAACCATGATTATCAACAAATGAAAAACTTCACAACCCCCATGAGAATACCTCTCAAGCATGGATTCTTGAACCAGATAAAATCATCTATTTGAAACCTATTTTTGCATGGAGGAAATCTAGAAAAATATACTTTAAATGAACTAAGCTTAGTACTGTGTCACTTATTCCCAAAATTCATGAATAGATACATTATAGAATTGAAACAGAAGTTCAAAGATTTTACCAAATGAAGCAAAGCCGCAAAGAACTTCTCCTCTTTTTTTCTATCCTGACCTCACTTTCTTTCCATTTTATTTTCGGCTCCCCGATTCCAGACTACTATTCGTATACTACTTCTTGCTTTCGATTTGTTGTTCCCGACCTTCTATCTATTTTCTTCTATTCTTCTTTTCTATTGAATCCCGGAGCCCTAACCCTCTCTGTTTCCTTTTCTTTTTCTTTGCGATTTTTCCGCTGATTTCTCCACACCCTCACCGTCTCGCTTTTAGTGTACTCTTCCAGAAAACCAGAAAATCCCAGAATGTTCCATCTTTCTTTCTTTGCTTCTGCCTCTCTATCTATCTTTCTTTGCTTCTCGTTCTGTCTCGTAGTCTCCGCCCCATGCTCTCTGTTTCTATCGTCCTCTCTGCAGTTCCTCTGTCCTCTGCACGTTTCTTTCCTATCTTCGTTATTGTTCTCTCCTCCTACTTCGATCAGCAGAAGAGGGATGAGAAGGATGAAAAGAAACGGCACTTTCTGATGAAAAGAAATGGTGATTGAAGAGATGTACATATGAATATGAGTATAATGGATAAAGAAAGTAGATAATGGCTGATGTAACTTACAGCAAAGAATATGTTCTTCTGCGTATTGTTAATTGTTTGTGACGAATGGAAAACACTGGTTTTAATTTGCAGGAGCGGAAAATAGAGGGAAAAAAAGGAAGAAGAGTAACTGCCGACGGATATGCAAGGCGAAACCAAATTTCCAAAACGACACCGTAGATAACGCAAGGCAAAACCAAATTTCCAAAACGACACCGTAGATAACGCAAGGCAAAACCAAATTGCCAAAACGACATCGTAGACTTATAATCATCAGTACGGGGCCAATAATACGAAGTCAGGTCAAAGAAGGGTTGACCAATGAGGCTTGGTTTCTCTAGAATTTATACTTAATATTTATATCTAAATTCATTAGTAAATAAGGAAATATCTTTCTAAATAATAATATGTATAACATCTCATATGAAATTAAATTAATATATTACAAGTTTCATCAAAATGTGAATTCTAGAAGTTTAAGCTAAGTTTACATTTGTAAATAGATTCTATGTATATTTATAGTGTATATTTGTAATTGAAAAAAAATATCTCTGATTGTATAGTTTCTTATTTTCCAAGACCCACTAATCCTATTTGATTAACGAAATTATATATTTTTTCGATTAAGAGAAAAACAAGAAACCAAGGAAACGGTGCATAATCCGTAATTAATTATTAAAACGGGATTAAGAAAAATTAAGAAAGCTCTAACGAACAATTCTCTCTCCTTGAAATCACTTAATACATGTTTACCTGAAAAGATAAACACTTAATGGAATTGTTATCGGATTGATCATCATCATTATCGTCGTCTTCATTTCACATGGTTTGTGTTCCTTCACTGTATGTGTAAATTTTAAAAAGCAAACAGACTTTGCAGGCATCTCAAGAAGCCATACTGGCCCTGGGAAAAAGGAATAAGAAACAAGCAAGCAATCCATGCCCTGAAATATGTTTTATGGAAAAGATGATATTCAGAATTTGGTATATTTGAATGGTTATAATTTGTAATCCCCTTACTATTCTCTTCCATAATCCTACTTTATGTGACTCTTCCACAATGGTAATCAAATGAATATCATCCGGACTCGGCAATCGTCTCATACGAAAGGGAAAAAGAAACAGAAAGAAATTCATTCCAACACTGTGCCTCTTCGTTTAGTTGAACACCATAGAAGTACATCTAATGCATCAGAATTCCTTAAAACAAGATTTTCAGTTCTTCGTAAATTATACTTGAAACTTTACCAGGCTACATCGGAGTTTAGGCATGGTAAGCAATGGAAACCATTAACAGAGAAGCCAAAGGATTCAGTCTATCATTCACTAAATCGGATTAGAAAGCAGTTGGCTTTCACCTTCGCAAGAGAAATCAATCCATCCTTCCTTTCAAGATTCTCTCCTTTACTTCATTTGGTGTACTGTAGTAGAACATTAAAAAAGAGGCATTAAAATTGCAGTGAAATTTATCAGAAAATTTTAGAAACTTCATATGCAACAATTTACTTTCCCTAAAATTTCCAGAAAGGAAGAGTTAAATCTTTAATGGTCAGGTTGAGATATCATAGTACTTAATGGAACTAAAAGTAGCATGGAAAAATTATTTTCCAAGCAAGTAAATAGTGTGCAGTGTAACAAAAAAGATGTATCAGAAAGCTTACACAACATATACATGTCCTCCCCAACCACTCAAACAGTCACGGTCTACAGATGATAGCAGCGCCTGAGAAACAGTCTCGAACAATTCCTCAGATTCCTGAATAAGGACTTAAAAGAGTCAATAAAATTTTTATATCAAGGAAAATGCTCCAGGAGGAGGAGCAGTTTACAGTAGCAATCACATAATGAATTCAAGTCAACTAGCAGGATGGTCGAAAGTTATGCATTCAACAACTCACAATCACTTCCTGCTACTGAATTATTAAGTTATATATAACCAGTAAAATCTAGAAACATCATATGCACAGGGGAAGGCAAGGAGCATGGCCAGATACACCCAGCTATATTTGGATTGAAACCTGTAACCACCTGCTTTCAGGCTGTTTGGTTTCACAGCACCTATGGAACACCATTATTAGTCTTATATCATGAACAATAACATTAATGCTGAACTCCTAGCATGGGAAGACATCAGCAGCAAGAGGAAAATGTTAAGATTTATCTCACTCACCATAATATGGGTCCTTTGGAAAGAGAGAAACAATCGCGCTTTTGAAAGAATAGAAATTGATTTTAACAAACTCATTGATTGTTAGTTTCACTATTTTAGTTCCATTATTTTGGAAAATAACATCGACTGTCTTGATGATCTTGGTTTTATTGTCGATAGTTTAATCAACTTGTAAATACATTGTAAATGGATTGTGCCCTCTTGGCACCGTAACATCAATACAACTCTACACTTTTATTTCAAAAAAATATTTGCGTTGACATATAGGAAGAAAAATAAAAAAAGGCTTTCGAAGGGGAATTAATTGCCAGTTTAGTTCAGCTTCAGATTCTGCTGCGAGTAAAAAACTGAAGGCAAAGACATCTTTAACAAGATATAGGTTCTTGAAAATTTTGTTTAGTATTTTGAAGAACTATTTTTTCCAAGTATCATGCATATTAGTAAATCATTTGCTTTTATTTGCAGCAGATATAGAGCTAGGAAATGACTTTTGCTTTTGCCCTTCCAAAGTATTTATCCACCACTTTCAAGACAAGTACTTAATGTACGGACTAAAATGTTTTCTGCTGTCTCACTTTGTGTCCTTTGTCCTCTTTTTCTTCTTTACTTTATTATTCTGCTGCTCATATGTCTTCTTAAGACCCCTTTTTCTTCTCCTACCATATTATTCTGCTGCTCATATGCCTTGTTAAGAACATAAACTCCATATTTGACAAAGGCCTTTGGCCTAATTTCTCAGCTCCTGGTATCCTGTATGAAGAGGTTTCCAGCAAGCATGCTTGCTTACAGTTTTCCTCTAGTCCAACTAAAACAGGGGGCGAAAGTCAATGCTAACGATTTGGTGCTTCATTCTCAAATTGGTTAACAAATTTAATTACCTGTATTAAATTTATAGTTTTCAATTAAGTACCCTAAGCAGAGAACCAATAGGGTAAAAACTAAAATAGAGCATTCAAATGTCGACCATCCAACAGGCAAGACATAAGACAAAAAGGATAAGTATCAGACAGCAGTTATCAGACTGCCCGATCGAACACAGTTTTCCCCCTTCTCCTTAGTAGACAAAAACTTGATTCTGAAATATCTGTCCTCCTTCTCCAGACACATATCAAGACATATATCAGCCTAAACACAACACTCGACATATATCAGCCACACAACACTCAAGAGATATATCAGCCTAACTCGCTAAATACAGTTTCCTCTCTTTTGTTAATAAATAAAAACTCAATTGCCAAATATCTGCCCTTCTTTCTCCAGCTTACTTTCCCCTTCCCTCTCCCCACCCTCTCCACCAAGAAAAGGTAAGACACACATTATTTAGCCACCAGCTCAGAATTGTCTAACACGAGTGTCTTTTTCTTTCTTCAAGGGGTAATATATTTCCAAAATTTTATTGGTTGTCTAGTTGTCAATCATATCCTACCGTTTTTCCAACTTCCAATCAAATCAAACAAAAGTAATTCAAGTTACAAACCATGTCAGGCTTGAACATAGACTCGCATGCACCATAAAGTGACTCTGAAGCAGTGCCAGCAACAACAAAATCTTTTGCAAGCTCCCTGCATATTAGGAAGAAGGGAAATACATGGTTATATTTAGATCTCTATATGTTATGCTTGCCCACCGTCTATTTGAGAGGCACACTAAGCAAGAATAGCTCTGTAAATCAGAAAATATGCAGCCTCATATATCCATATTAACAAAAACAATGAAAACAAATTTTAGAAGATAAAAAATGAGTTAAGCCACTTCTTGGAAACTGGTCTATAACCAATAGCGCACATTCAAATAAATAAAGAAGTTTGTGTGACAAACATAAGGCACAGTAGAATATTTTTTCCAATCATAACCATCTACTCACGATTTACATATGAAAACTTCTCAATTTCAAAAAGCAAGGTAAGACACCCAGGGCAACACAAACACATGACTGATTATTTATCCATAACAGAACAGATAGAAAGTCCTATGTCACATTTGTATCTTGCTGGCAACGATTAACATTCACTTTCGGGGATGTATACAGGTGAAGCAGGTATAGAAGAACCAAAATCCAAGTCAGACCAGATATTATGCTAATAATATATTTTTTTAATTGATTTTTTTATAAAAATTATGCTACAGTGACTTTTTATTGATCTTGTTTTATAAATTACGGTAAACTATATTGACATCCATATCACCATTTGAACACATAAAGAGGAAATATTTGAACTTACTTGGCTCCAATTGAATCCATAGTGCAGATGAAGGGCTTGTCTTCCTCTCCCAATCCAGCAATCACGGGTTGACAGAAATAGGGACCAAACCTGAAGTAAAAATTGGCATATTCCATGGGTCATAATTTATGAATACAGTGGTTCCACAAAGAAATAAACAGAAGCAGTAGCTAGGTTCTCTAAACTCCTGAAGTAAGGGATTTATGTTTTGTACGAGAAAAAAGCAGCTACACCAATCTTGGTTACTTCTGGTTCATCTTAAAAGTGTACTAACAAATTATTTCGCCCCCTGCTATAGAAATAGTAAGAGTACTTGCGAAAAATAAGAAAAGTAAAATCAGTAAGGCATACAAGAGAAGCTTGGTAATTTATGAGTAGATACAAACCATGGTGTGTAAGAGAAGGGTGTAAGATGCACAAAGTGGGCAATACTAGTGCTGAAGTGTCAAGGGTACAAGTAATGGTTTGACTGGGAAGGTAAAAATGAGATATTGTTTCACACCCATGCAATAAGAATTGCATCCATGTATTTGCCCCGGAACATCCAAGCAAAATATACATAATTTCTTTTTTACCAGCCTAGGCACTTTACTTGTTAATCCAATACCAAAATTCTATAGCCGAGAGCTAGAATCAAGTTCTACAACAGTTAGACAATAGCCTGTAAAAATGTTGTCCCAGGTGATTGTGTAACTTGAAAATTTATTGCAACATGAAAATTTTCAACATATTAAGCCTCGTTGGTTTCCTTTTCTTAGTGGGTCCGGGGGAAAGGGTGCAGAAATATATTATTCCATGCTTGAGAACTTTGCATAACAAATTGGTACACCATGTTAACACCAACATGAGCGCCACAAATATTTTTGCTCACATCAACTTAGCAGCACGCCAAAGTCACAACAGTGGCTGCCAGGAACTAAGCAGGCTCATTGAAACGTGCTATGTTTTCCTAGATGTGCAACAGATCTATTCTGCTCAAGGATAGGCCACATGGAAAAGAAGAATGTCGATACAAGTAGTTCAGCTTGCTGAGAAGAATGAATCCAAGTTCATATGCTGATCTATAACTGAACTAAACACATCTAATATAACATGCGTGCCAAGCCAGTATACTAAACCTAATAATAGCTTTAGCACGCATCCTGAACTGAATAGCTTCGGCAGATTATGATATTGATGCAAAATAGTACTATCCTCATACAAAAATTAGCACAAAATGCCGCCTAAAACATCAAATGATAATTATCCAATTCAAAATACTAAGAATAACTAAGGGGAAATAAAGGAAAATAAATATTCAATGAACCAATAAAAGAAAATAAAGCTATCCACTTGCCTTTTCTCATAAAGAAGAGCAGAAACAAGACTAGCAAATGTTTCAGGCTTCATGTCCCTCTCTTCTCTAAGTTGGTACAACTTATGACGGAACACGAGCCGCTGATACCTTCAAATTACCAAAAAGGAATTCTAGTACAAGTAACCCTAAAAAGCCAATAATATGTGCAGGAAGAGTGGATAGCTAAAAGTAGAATGAAAAGGAAATTTGAAATGACTTACAAGGTCTGGGCATCTGTGCCGAGACCGGATAGACCGAGGAATAAGCGATCGTGAATCTTATAGATCTTCTGGAAATCAGTGGCGATGGTCTGCAGCTGAACCCCTAGTCGCCGATCGCTGGCAATGGCGAAGCAGTTCTTCCCCACCATCGCTATTAACGCACTCCCATTATATTCGAAGATCTGCATATCATTACAACAATCATCATCATCATAAAAACACCTTTTTATTCAACCACTCCTACATGGTTCCTGCGGACAGATTAAGGGTTTTAGAGTGATAAAAGTAGAGAGACGAGGGACTTACCGACATTGCAATAACAAATTAGGATTGTACTAGTACTTTTATTTTTCGAAACAGTATGATAAATGGAGAAAGCAGAACGGGGAAGAAAGGTACGAGTGAAGAGTTGGAGCAGAAGAGCCTAATAACGGTGATGGCTTGAGGGACAATCCAAGCTTGGACGAAGACGGGTGCATGGGGCCCGACCCGCTAACCCATATCAGGGTTTAGTTGGATCAGGCTTTATCTGGGGTCTTGGCTCGGCTGCACAAATGATAAAAGCAGTTTACAAACATTTTAGTTGAATAAGATGATATGATTATATTTTCAGTCAAATTATTAATTTATTTTTATATATTATATATAATAATAAATGATATATAAAAAATATATAATAAAAAAAAATTATTTACTAATATAATTATATTTATGTTTAAATAAATAATTATTATATATAATTAAGTATATAATAACCATATAATAACAGTGATTGAATGATAATAATACATGATGGGAATGGTACAATTTTTTTATATTTGGATGATTATATATTAATGTATGTTAATGACATATTTTTATTTGAATGATAAGATGGTATGCTTGTATTTTCAGTTAAATTACTAATTTACTCTTATATATTATATGTACTGATAAATTGTATATAATAAAAAAAATAAATTATTTATCAATATAATTATATTTGTATTTAATTAAATAATTATTATACATAATTAAATTAAATTTTTATATTTAATAAAATAAATAATAATTTGTAAAGATAAAAATAAAATTAAGTATATTATATGATGGTATAAGGAGAGAAAAAAATAACATTTCGGTCATAGACTATTAATTCGGTAATTTTAAAATTTATCTCAAATTTATTGGTCGTATACCATTTGCTACTATTTAAAGTTGAAGTAAATATGATTTTCTCATACCCGTATAATAGTATATATTAAAATCTTATCATTCACCATAATCCAGACATAATATAAATCTATCCGAAAAAGTAACCATATTATGCCTCCTAAAATCACGAATTATTGTTAAATACTTTTGTTTAATTTTATATAACGTATAATAGTTTTGTTTAATTTTATTAGGAAATAATTTATATTGTCTCTTACTAAACTAAAAATATATTTAGAATAAATTTGAAATGTACATAAAATTTATTTATAAATTCATACTTTACTATGGTTAAAAAGAATTATTTAAAACGAGAAAAAAAATGAGTTCATATAAATTTTAATTAAAATTATAAACTTTGAATTCCATCAACTTAATTAAATATTTTGGGTCTATATAAATTTTATTTACATAAATTTAAAATAAATTAATTATATTTATATGATTCGCGGAGATCTCGTAATTATTGATTATATTATTTTTTTATTTGGTAATTTATTTTTATTTCCGAACGTAAAAAATATGAAATCTAAAAGGAGATTTTTTTAAATGAAAAAGAGATCTCGACCCTTATTTTGATTTTGTAAATTTTTTTTTACGTTCGTAAGAATAATAATTTTTATTTTTTAAAAATTAAAATTTTAATTTTATTGTTATAATTAATTTTATAAAAATAAAAATTAAAAATAAGCAAAGAAAATATAGAAAATAAATATTGAAATAAATGATAAATATGTGAATAAAGCCGGTTATGGAAAAGAAGTGGAAAGCTGGTGAACTTCCAAAATGGTTGCCGCAACTGCAGAAACGGAAAATTGAAAATCCTGTTTTGAAAAATCAATCTCACTTTCAAAAAGAATAAATAAATGCCATTTCGTGTTCGATTTACAGATATTTCAATCCTGTTTCCTCAATTCTGCTCATCTGCTCGCTCCAACACAGAGAGAATCAGAGAAGGTGTGAAGAAGAAGAAGAAGAAGATGGTGCGGAGTTTGCTGTTCCTGTCGGTATTGATTGCGGCTTCGATGATGGAGAAATGCGGAGGAGTAAACGTGAGTTACGATGGAAGATCGTTGGTGATCGACGGTCAACATAAGATTCTCTTCTCTGGTTCAATTCACTATCCTCGAAGCACTCCTCAGGTTTGTTTTTATTTCAAAATTCCACCATCGTTATCTTCTTTCTGAATCATCTACTGATATTGAGTTCAATCCTTCATTGTGTTTACGCGTATTTGGTCAAATTGTCGCTCTGAAAAACTGAAACAAGTAAGAATATGTTAGAGAGAAGGAGAAAGTAGGAGGATGACGACTCTTACCAAGCCATCTGCTGGTTTTGGTTTTGACCAGCGTCAAACCTGTCCATAGCAATCCATTAACACTTTAATTTATTTATATCAAACAATATTTATTTAAATTCATAATTGAAAATTAAATTATTGTAATCAATAGTTTTCTGATTTACATAATTCTTATATATATATATAAATAAATGTATATTGAGTTTAATATAATTTCAGTATCAATATTAAATGCCCATGAATTTTGCATTGACACTATCCAGCCCATGGATAGTTTAATTCATGGGCTGGGCTAGTTTTTATTAATTCAATTTGGGCCTACTTTTCTCTTTTCATGTTTTGTTTCTGTCGTAAATGTTTCGACAACTGTAATTTAAGTTAAAAATTTTAAAAATATTATTAAAATAATTATTTATTAAAATTTTTACTCAAAAGATTATTTAATATTTTGGTGTTGATAATTGTATACAAATTAAGTAAGTAATTATTTTTCGTTGTCATTAATTGAATGTCTTTTAAGTATATTTTCCGGTGTTTATTATCATCTGACTTAGAAATTAAACATTACTATTTTGTTTGATATTAGGGTTTTGGCATTTTAATATTAACATGATATTATTACATGTTGGTATAATTTTATAATGCCATGTACATTGTAAGTATAGTTAAAAAAAGCACTTTATAAAACCCAATAAAAAATATTAAGCACCCAGTTGAGTTAATCCAAATAAAGTAGCAAAAATTTGGACATTCGAGAGTTCTTTAGCCAACTTCAATATACAAACTATAGAGTCAAATATTAGGAATAAATAATTTTTACTTTCTATAATTTTTGTTACCTCCAAAGAGGGAGTGGTTGCAAATTTTATGTTTCTTTAGTTTCCTGTATAATGAATGAATTAAATTTGATTAAATGCAGATGTGGCCATCTTTAATAGCAAAGGCCAGGGAAGGTGGATTAGATGTGATAGAAACTCTTGTGTTTTGGAACCTTCATGAGCCTAAACCAGGACAGGTCTTCTTCTAAACGTTTATATAAAAAATAGAAACAGACGTATAGACATACTCATGTTAATGTTGGTAATTGGATACTGTGTCTCTGTGTGTTTTACAGTTTGATTTCAGTGGAAGAAGGGATCTTGTAAGGTTCATAAAGGAGATTCAAGCCCAAGGTTTATATGCCTGCGTCAGGATTGGACCGTTCATTCAGGGTGAATGGGGTTATGGGTAAACCACTACTCTTTTGACATTTTACTTTTAATTTGATAATGTAGATATATACATATCCAGAATGGGGTGTCTTCGATCTCAAGGTTGTAACTACCAACTTAAATCTTCAACACCATTAATGTCCTTCTTGGTAGAAGATTTCCTCTGGACAGCTAATTGGGATGTGGATAAAGGATGGAGAGAACACAGTAAAATTGGGTATTAGAGCATGGTAAAAAAGAAACGTGGAAGTGCAGGTAAAGCTTCATCAAGTGTCGGGTGGAAGAAATATTCTTGTGTTGCTGTGAGTAAGAAACCTAGCATGGAGATAATGTAAGAACATTTGCCAGTAAAGCTTAGATTGACCTAAAAGGGATTGACCTGAATTGTGTTATGTGTAGAGGGCATGTGGAGTCATAGGAGCATCTGGTCCAGAAATGTGAGTATTCGACCATGGTACGGAAAATCAGGCCATTGAGATGTACACAGCTATTGCATTCTTGTTTTCATGATTGGTTGCAACATAACTTGGGCAACGCAAATGTTCATGTAAGGCTTGGTTTATGGTGCTTTTATGGGGCATTTGGAGTAAAACCAATGCATATAGAGTGGGAGATGGTAGGAGCATGTTACTCTTGCTTTAAAGTCGCAGACAGCTTTCTATGAGATGGAGCAAATAAACAATCCACAGGACTTGGAAGGGAGGCAGCTTTCAAAATGTAGTCATTTTTCAACAATATCAAACCTGGAAACTACCACCTGAAGGCTTCTAGAAGCTTGATTCAGATGTTTGTTTTAGTGATAGGGAATGGATAGGGTTGGGGATGATTTTAGGGACTGCCGGTGAAAGGTATTATTTGTTGGCATGAGACGGATTCCATCACCGAGCACAGTGGAGATGGCAGAGATCCTTGCATTGAGGTATGAATTGGAAGTAGCTGTATCAAGAAGTATCCATAATATAATAGGGGAGGGTGACTCTCAAAAACTCTTTTCTTCACTTTTATATAAACCTGGGGACGTTTCAGAGTTTGGGCCATTAAGAGACAATGTATTAGATATCCACATGTTTTTTTCAGTTTTGTTTCTTTTTAGTTCCTAGATGTAATCATGGAGCAATTATCTTAGTTATGGAGGCTTATCTGTACCTAATGTTGTTTTGTTTACTTAGAAGCTCCTGATTTTGCGTGAATAAGATGATGTTCTCTTCTCATGATATAGTGAAATATTCTCTTCCAAGGAAGAAAAGAATTTCCTCCATTAAAAAAAAAAAAGATAAATGTTTGATAGCCTTCTCTCCTCTCCTTTAATTAAAATTATGCTATATACAGAGTACCAGGAACAGTTAAAACTAAAGTTCTTTATGATCATATTGCAGGGGTTTACCAATCTGGTTGCATGATGTTCCGGGAATAGTTTTCAGATCAGACAATGAACCATTCAAGGTATTACCTTCACCAATAGTTAATCATCCCTATATAATTCTTTCCATTTGAGCCTGCTTACAATGGCATGGGAACCACTAATGCTTCTTTTGATTGATATTTTAATGCAGAATCACATGCAACAATATGCAAAAATAATAGTAAATTTATTGAAGTCTGAGAGGTTATTTGCTTCACAAGGAGGACCAATTATACTCTCACAGGTTTATACAAAATCTACAAAGCAAGTAGATTTACATGCTCTTAGCTCTTCACCTTCCATCAGATCTTTTATATGAATTTGGGTTACATGTAGATTGAAAATGAGTATGGAATGGTCCAGAAAGCTTTTGGTGAGAAAGGGAAAGCTTACCTTCAGTGGACTGCAAAGTTGGCTGTAGAGCTTGATACTGGCGTGCCATGGGTGATGTGCAAGCAAGACGATGCTCCTGACCCTGTGGTTAGTCCTAGTCTTATATAAGCTTTTGCTACAAGTTTTTTTTTGTTTCAGTTAATTAGAGAAGCTGAAATTGGCAGATCAATGCATGCAATGGGAGGAGATGTGGAGAAACATTTGCCGGACCCAATTCACCAAATAAACCAGCAATTTGGACTGAGAATTGGACAACTTCGTATGTTTTACTTAAATTTTTTGGACACAAATTTGAACTTCCTTTTGGCAAACAGTTGTGGAATTGGTCAGAATTGAACCAACATTTTCTGTTTTTACTTATTTACAAACTCTAAATATTAGATCGTGGAAAAGAGACTAGCTTATGATAGCACCATCCGGCTTAATTAAAGGCGCCCCAGTTTGGGGCAATTTTTTATTTTAGTTTGTGTTTCAAAACTATTTTTGCAACTAAACGTACTTTAGATAAAAATCAAAGTCAAAATCTCGTTTTGATAAGTTTAAATACAAAAATTATAATTTGCAACTTTTAGAAAATAATTTTAATTTTTAATAAAAATTTACTCTTGAAATTTCAAAAATTATTTTTCATCAAACACAGTTTCTACTTTGTACAAATTTAAAGTACAAATTACAGCCTCCCCCTTGCTCCCCAAAATGCCCATTAAGATATATGCATGCATACATAGGATGATTAAACATCTTCCATTTAGTTGCTGCTTCAAACAGCACTTAATTGGTGTTTTTAAATTTGTTGAAGCTATGAAGTTTATGGCAAAGAACCAAGACTACGATCAGCTGAAGATATTGCATTTCATGTCGTGCTGTTTATTGCAAAGAAAGGAAGCTATGTGAATTACTACATGGTGGGAATTCTCTCCTTGTCACTTGCATGGAGTATATAAGCAGTATATGTTTTGGATTTGAAATCACAATGTTTATGTCTAAAAGTTTTAAGCAGTTCTGACACAGTCGTTTTATTCCAGTATCATGGTGGAACAAATTTTGGCAGAACTGGTTCCGAATATGTACTGACAAGTTATTATGATAAAGCTCCTTTGGACGAATATGGTAAGTTTCATTGCTCTCATCACATATCTCAAAACTTCAAAAAATTAAAAATCAAAACTCAACTTGATATATATATACAGGTCTGCTTAGGCAACCAAAATGGGGTCATCTTAAGGAATTACATGCTGCTATCAAATTATGCTCAAGGCCTTTGCTTTCTGGGGTTCAGATGAAAATGAGTCTGGGTGATCAACAAGAAGTAAGAACACCATGAAATTGTTAGTTTCTTTCTCACTATGCAATATGTATAACTTAGAAGAGAGTGAGCCAACATTTTGTTTACAGGCATTTGTCTTCAGAGAGAATTCACAAGTATGTGCTGCATTCCTTGTAAACAATGATATAAGAAGAAACGTTACGGTCCAGTTTCAAAACATTTCGTACGAATTGCCTCCAAAGTCGATTAGCATCTTGCCAGACTGCAAGATTGTAGCCTTTAACACAGCTAAGGTATGATTATAATCCATCCAGGCTACTTTAGCTTTTCTATTTCCTGGGGAGTTAGTTAGGGACTTTTTCTTTTTTCTGAAAAATTCTTATGAACAGGTAACCACACAGTATACAACAAGGTCAATGCAACCAAGTAAGAGGTTTGATTCGATTGAGATTTGGGAAGAATATAAAGAATCCATCCCTACTTTTGATGAAACATCATTACGGGCAAACACAATATTGGAGCAGATGAATACAACGAAGGATACATCTGATTATCTTTGGTACACTTTCAGATATGAGCATCAGTCCAGTAAAACTAAATCTGTGCTCCGTGTAGAACACCTTGGCCATGTACTACATGCATTTGTTAATGGACAATTTGCAGGTATATAAGCTGTTGTATATTTCTTTTGTTATGGTTGAAGCACATCAATGGGATGCAGAGCCGTAAATTTACCTTGTTGGTTGTTTAGGATCTGGACATGGGAGTTTTGACCAGAAAAGATTCATAATGGAGAATACTATCTCTTTAAACAATGGAACAAACTATGTCTCCTTACTCAGTGTAACGGTTGGATTACCTGTAAGTCTCTCTTACTTTCTACTATTAATTTATTGCTGTGATTGCTTGATGTACAGTGCTAGAGACTACAGCTGTTGACAAGTAGAAACATAAAGAATTATTGTCATTCAATTTTGAGAAATCATTTCTTTTAATCTTGTTTTGGCGTGAAGGATTCAGGACCTCATCTAGAGCGACGGGCGGCCGGATTACGGAGTTTGAGAATTCAGAGAACAAAAGGGTATCTTGATGATTTTCAAGACTATCCATGGGGATATCAGGTTCCTTTTTTTTGTTTTTCTTTTTTTCTGTTCTTGCACTTTCTATAAACTGTCAGTCTACTTCTAATCATATCTGTATTTTTTCTATCCCATAACATTCTTTAAATGGCATTTCTCAATGTAAAGTGATAAACAATTTTCAAGAGTCTTGCATAATTGTTTTATTGCTGAATAATTTTTGAAGGTTGGGTTGGTAGGAGAGAAATTAAAAATTTACACAGAGAACGGAGCAAGAAAAATCCAGTGGAGCAAGCATAACAACTCCACTCATCAACCACTTACATGGTATAAGGTAAATATAGGGTGCTAGTTAGCTTTAATTTTTACTCTTTCTTTCCTGGGTTAAAATATACCACTGGTCATCTTCTTGATTCACTTGTGAAAAATGTAGACTTTTTTTTATGCCCCCCCTGGAAGAGACCCTGTAGCACTGGATCTTGGGTCTATGGGAAAGGGTGAAGCTTGGATTAATGGGGAGAGCATTGGTCGATATTGGGTCTCAATCCTTACCAGAGGAAGTCCTTCACAAACATGGTATATATGGATAAGACAAATTGCTAAATTATTCTTCTTTTAATTTCTACATTATGTTTTTAAACAAAAGGATCCTAGAAGTTGTGTAAATCAACATTTTTAATAATTAACCATTCGTTTTAATAGGTACAACATCCCTCGATCCTTTCTAAAAACTACTGGAAACTTACTGGTGATATTCGAAGAAGAAAAAGGAAACCCTGCTGAAATATCAGTTGATACTGTGTCAATCACAAAAGTATGTGGCCAAGTGAGTAAATCACATCCTCCTCCAGTAATTTCATGGCGAGGCCAGCAACAAGATGAACCTGTTGAAAAGACCAGACACCATGGGAGGAGGCCTAAAGTAAATCTTCGGTGTCCTCCGGGAAGGAACATTTCTAAAATCTTGTTTGCAAGTTTTGGAACACCTTCTGGTGACTGCCAAAATTATTCCGTTGGAGCCTGCCACTCTTCTCATTCTCTGCCTGTTGCCAAAAGGGTAGGCGCTACTCTTCAACTTTTTAACAAATCATGATTCAAGTTCTTACTTTTGTTCCCGTTGCTATAAAAAGAAATTTCCATGGTTTCATTTTTTTATTTCAAGTATTAACTAACATACTGACTGTATATTTGGTGATACGAATATATATATATATATATAAGGCTTGTGTAGGGAAGAATAAGTGCTCGATTCCATTACGGAATGATAGATTTGGAGGAGACCCATGTCCAGGCATATCCAAGTCATTGCTTGTTGATGCACTATGTACATGAAACCACCATAACCATTCATCTTGCAGAGAATAGTTTTTTTTTTTTTTTGAAAAAAAAGTTTAATGTTAATAAAATTGGTCTAATTTTGGTATAAATTTACATTAATTTTTAATTTTCTGTCAGTATCCGTTGAATTTTTGGATTATCGATAAACTTTAATTATTGATTGAATTATTGATAAAGTTCGTGTCACAATCTTTCCATTTATTTGCCGATAACATAGTTTCATTATTGTTCGATTATTTAAAACATCACATCCTATTTATTGATTCATTTGATTTCTCTGTTGAAACTATCAAAAGAAGAACCAATTCACTTTGGGTTTGACCAAAAAAGAAGAAGAGAAAAGAAAGAACAAACTCTGTTTGGCTTACCCTTTTGCCAAAAGCATGTCCAAAATTTTAGTATTCAAGCCAAATTATATAGTAATGCAAAATGGCATAATAACCTAATAAAGGAAACCCATTTGAAGTAAGTTTTTAAATTTAGTATTTCAAAAGGCTGCAGACACAGTGAGGGCCTAAGCTTGTAATTTAAACCTTGAAAGAAGCAGGTTTTACTGAATATGCAGCCATATATAACCACACCATTATCAAGAAATCTAGCAACTAAATTAAGAAGGAAAAACAGAAAGCAATAAACAATAGGGTTTGGATCAAATCTTTTATATATATATATATATTATTATAAGTATCATGTACATAAATTTGATTATCAAATTATTATAATATCACAACACAATTAATCCAACTGCTTCAGTGTTCCTATTTTATTAGTCTATACATGTTTTTATAAATTAAGAGGTTAAGTCAAACACTGATCTGCCTTAACTACTGCAATTATAAGAATTTAATCATCACGTTATCTTCTCTTGGCAAGCTACCCTATATAGAGATATATATATATATATATATATCTTCTGCATGTTGGAGCTTATCCATCTCAACCTCTGGATGATTTTGTATTGATTGATTTCAATTGTATTATTATAAAATTAATTGGAAAAATGAATAATTGAAAAGGAAAAAGACTGCATGACGTCTGACCTGCCAGGTTCTATTCCCATTTGTTTTTGACAAGATGCATGGTAATGGTAATGTATGGCCTACTTGCTTATGTATTTATTAATTATAATACTCTTCTTACATAAATTTCATTTGTTTAGAGATAAAAGTTGGAAGTTTTTAACTATGAACTAACTGAGTTTCAAGTCAAAATTCAAGAGACTGGTGAGACTGATTCAAGCCAAATATGTGTGTGTGTATATACATACAGTATAATTTTGTACATAATACTTTTATATAATACAGTTTACAGAGTAAATTAAACGGACCATAAATGTGGTGAGTGTGATCATGACTTCTATACACATAAAATAAGTAACCTCAGACACTATAAGTCACATGGTGCTTATATTCAAGAAAAAATATATATATTACCATCACTGCATCACTATCTAATTTAAAACACACAAAACAATATTCCTAATCGTGCAAAACGTTGTTTGGTGCTTGCAAGGAAAGTCTGAATTACGTAATACTGGAAGGAACCTATCTCTCACAATTTTCTTTCTTTCTTTTTTTGGTCTTTTCTGAATATCTATCATAAATTTCATACCTTCCTATCTTCTACCTCTTCAGATATATTCAAAACCCCGTCGAGCTTTCGTCTCCTCACCTATAAAAAGCAAGGTTTAGGTCGTCCTTGACCTGCACAAACACACAAGCAAGAGTTGTATACAGCAAAAGTCACACTAGAGCAACAAGGTGAACAAAAGAAGAGGCAGTTAATCGTAATATTGTATATTGTAGCTTTAGATGGAAATGGTGGTGTGGGTTGTGTGGGTATTATTTCTGGGAGTAGCACAAGCAAGTAACGTGACATATGATGGGAGATCATTGATCATCAATGGTGAACACAAGATCCTCTTCTCTGGGTCTATTCACTACCCCCGTAGCACACCTCAGGTAAATCAATCTTACCATTTCCTTTATCGACTTTTCATCTCCTCAGCTTTGCTTCGTGGCAACCTAGGATGGTACTTGAAATTCATTTAGCGTTAAAAACTAAGAAGTTTGATCATGTAATTTGAGCTGTGATATG